AGAGATTTCACTTCGTTTTTGTCTGATTTATCGGCTGATTTGTAGATTGTGAATATGGTATGATTAGTGTCTTTGAAGGTAAGTGCAAATGCAAGTGCTTTGCTTTTGTGTATTACTTTCAAGGATCTTCTGCAAAAGTGATAATAAGAATCGAGGATACGAAAATGTGAAGAATCGCTTTTGTAGTTAGTAGCTTCCCGGGCAGAGTACTGAATAGTCCAAACTGGTTCAATAATCAAGATTATCCAATCCTCACTCAAATCAATCAGAATATTCCAATCATTCGAGAGAATTGAATTTGAGTAGGATGTCGAATGAACTATTGTCAAATTTCTAATGACTATTAGTTATGGATAGGTGTTCAAAATCGTATATTGGTTGATTGATTAATTGATTGTAGTTTGGATTGTTTATTGGATATTCTGTTTGTTCTTTGTTCTTTGCTTTTTGTCTTTTTGAAAAGGGGAGAAGATGGTGTGAGGGGTTGGAAAGCTGGATAGTTTGGATAGTTTGATGGAGGGTAGGTTAATGGCGTAGCTTTGTGGTGGTTGCGGTTGTGGTTTGGTTGTGAGTGTGAGTGTGGGTTTGTTGCTTGGATTTATGGTGCGCTTTGATTTTGAGGGAAGGGCGGGGGGTTCTTTTATGGCTGTGGGTTGGGATGGCTTTTATGTTAAGTGAATGTTTTTGAATTAGATGGGAGGGGAGGGGGGGTATGGGTGAAGCTGGGTGAATGTGAGCTATTGGTGTTGTGAATGGGTTGTGAACGGGTTGGGGATATGGATAGGATGCTGGTGTGATTTTGTGATGAGGGCTGGATGGAAATGAAAGGGATCTGAGGGGTTGTTATATATAAAGAGGGAGAGGCTTTTGTGGAAAGGATATTGAAGGGAAAGGCTTGATTTGACACCAACTTGGGTGGGGGGGCGACGCGATGGTTTGGGTTGGATTGTGGTTCTACATTCGAGAGGGGGTTATTGAATGTCGGAAGTTAGATGGGCAAATGGTTGTGGAGGAATATTGTGGGCTGATGTTTACTACTTGATTTTGATGTTTAGGATAGGATGAGAGTACGGTGCACGAGGTGAATGAGAGTAAAGGTGTAGCGTTTATCGAACGCTATGTTTTCAAATATGCCTATTGTGTATGAGGTGCCTACATGGACACTTTCTGTAAACGTCTTTACATAGTTGGAGATGGCGGCTTTTGGAGACTTATGCTTGATATATTAATTCACATGACGGAGGTTATCTGGTGGTTGGGATTCACTCTGTAACAAATGACTCTGACTTGTACTACTACCAAATGTGAATATATAAAAGTCGCCTTACTTCTTTCTCTCCATCTTCTTCTCTTCTGTGACCCACTTGCAGGTCACTATTCAAGAATGATTAACAAGGAAATGGTCGCGCGTAGAACAGCTGGCTGTCTAATAGTGATCGGCGTATTTTGAGATACGTGTATAATTTTCGAGAATCTATCCTGGTGGTAAGATTCGACGTTGATGGTTTTCCGACAGTACGTAGGTGAGGCCAGTAGCCGAGGTTCACTCGTGGGGATTGACAATGTGAGAGTGTATTGAGCATACTGATTGATGAAAATGAGTGACAACAACTTCACCGTATTATTAGTGGAATATATTCCAATCTTACCTACATGGAAAAAAGGGAATATATTTCGGATCATGGTCAGTTGAAAACTTCATAAAAATAGACAAGCAACGTATAATCCCCATCGCTAGTTCTGTGCTTCTGCCATCTCTACTGGTCTTCTTGCAGCACACTTGCAAATGTGATTGAGTATCATAATTTGTACCAGTAGCAAAAGATCTAAAAGTCTAGAACATGCCCAATACCTCCACCAAACAATGCAAAAAGGTGATTCCGGTACGGGGAATTGAACCCCGGTCTCCCGCGACTTGATTGAAGCTCGAAAGCTTCGAATGAGAGGCGGAAATGCTAGCCACTACACCATGCCGGATATTTGGTTGATTGATGGATATAAGAGGCTTTGTTAACAATATCTCCTACGTTTGAAGAGTGGGGTGAAAAGATTTTTTGTTAGCAGAGATTTTAAGCGAGGGACGTGGGATGCTGGGCTGGCTTGGGGTGGGGGTGAGATGGATTGTTAATTTGTTATGGAGGGTCGGAATTTTGAAATTATATCATCTTTGTGATATCAATACTAAATAGATACTACGACATGATCTTGGGATGCGTTGTTTTGTCTCTAGATGAATCATATCGATTTATGCAAAGTCTTCGGAATGACGACTATGAGAATGTCCATGTGCTTTTTTCTGACTACATAGAGCGATCACTTGTCAGCGCTGTTCTTCGGTTTTGAGCGCTATTTATCTAAACGTGAGTGTCTGTGAAGAATTCACTATCAATGATGGTACTTGGGTAGCACTCTTGCTGTCGTCAAATCTTCCCTCTCCAAACTCGTCCGCCGAGTTTACTCCGCCGTCGATCAATTCACTCAAGATATCGCCTTGCTCCCATACTATTTTCGATAGTATTAAAGAAGTTCCATGTCTAATGCAGAGCATAAAATGTTGGAGCTAAGATGATTTTATGCCTATTGCCGAAGGAATGTACACTCTGTTTGTAACGTATGTCTATATCCGTTCTTGGTATGTGATTCACATTTGCATTAAATCGATTACATCATTTACATGTGATGTATCTAAGTTTCATGTTGAACTTGAGGATACAAAGTATCTACAGTCAAATCAAGGGCGGGGAAATACCCCAAATGACTCGCCTTTCGTGGTATTCACTATCTTGATCGTGAATCTTTATAGTTTTTCGGGCATAAAATACGCACCAGGAGTCGAAGTGCATACCTCAAAGCTTTGACGCCATCATTACATAGACCTTAGGAGTTGAAGAATTACTATCTGACAATTCTCTAAAGACTGGCAAGCTAGGTCGACAGAGCCCCGAAACTGTAGAGTTTCTGTATTGTTAGTAGCATCTCAGGCACCATGCATTTTCTGAGTCTATTGGCAACAAGAATTTTCTAGTATGTTTTCTCATTCTTTCACTGTCATTACCTGACGGCAAGATAAGTGTCAGTCTCTAACCTCAAGCTACTAGTACTTCTATATGATTAATCTCGTTTGTGGTTCATGGAGACTGGAGATTCCAAACGAATCTCGCTCCCACAGAGCATGTTGGACAACATCAAGGCACACCCGCGTATTGGGTCGGCTGGAAGATGTTTATGGATTTATTTATAATCTTCCCTTGGCTGTTTGAAGTCGAGGGCTCGGAAAAGTGAATTGCCTCGTATCATCATTCAACTATGTAAGTTTAGCAAACGACACTCTCCTCCCCTCTCTTGATACCACAAAATCCACAACTCTACTACTTCTGTCACAGTGCACTACCCCGGCACAAGCTGACAAACTTCTTTCTCTTTCGACCTATATGATGATTATTTAAGCTCCCTCTAGATTCACAATTGGATGGATCAAACGAGGAAAAGAGACTTATCTGGTTGGCTATAATGCCTGGGCTCCAAGACTTGGCGAGAAGGCTCAAATATTTGTTAACGTCCCTACTAAATTTACCGTTATCAATTGAGAGAAAGATTTGTGCAAAAATTGCATCCATTGTCTGATCGTCTTTGGAGCAATGAGATTGATAATAGCAATTTGTTGCTGTCATCATCTCATCTTACAGCTTGTCTATCATTACTACCCTCCAATGTCGTTGGTTCTTTGTACTTTCCTGCTTTTACTTAAAGGAACTGAAGCTGTAAATACTAATTTGCGTATTCTGGGTTGAAACACCTGTCGACCTCAAGGCGTACCATCAACCCAGTCCTTGATGAAATCTTTTGCCTCTCATTTTCCTTGCAATGCCCATGTAGACAGGAATCCGTTCTCTTTTGTAGGACTCCGCGTAGATCAACCCGCAGTGGGCAGTGCATACCGTGGAGCTTTAATGTAGATTATCATTCCAGCTGATTTGATCTTCACACTCCTTGTGCTCGTGCTCGTGAGAATCGAGAAGTGAAGCTGCATTTTGATAATTATCCATATGTAAAGCGGCTCTTGAATATCGGGAGTGCAGACGGAGAGGATGAGTTGGTTATTTCGGGAAATTAACTTGCAGCCGAGTTGTGATGATCTTGTCTGACTCGAATCTTGTGATATATTGTAAAATTCATTAATATTCTTTGCTCTCCTCTCTCGCTATCAAAGGCCATACTGTAGTTCAAATGCTACACATCCAACCAACCCCAGATGAACCCTTTTAACCTTCCTCAACACCCAGCAAAGATCAGGCTCCGGCGTAGGATACCAAAGTATCAACACTAGATATCCATAATTAAGCATTTACAAAAAATGCAGCCACTTGAGAGCAATGACAGTTGAATGTGTTTGACCAATCTCTGCAAAGAGTAAGATGAGAGTAAATGCTTATCGAATCCTTACTCTCATCTCAAGATGTTGATTTTAGAAGTCAGTTGTTTAAAAAAAGAAGAGATATCTACTCATATAATCAATATGTTGGAAGGTGCGGTAGGAATAGCCTCGTTTGGAGCCGGAAGGAGCTTTCAATTTTTTTTTTTCAAAAATGGGAAGGGTTTGCCCGATTCTGATTCTAATATGGAACCAAATCTTAAAATTGTTCGCAAGTGAATACCAAGACTACGATTGATAACGTATCAGCTTGGCCATCTCTAGGCTAAGGATTTGGGGTGGTTTCGACAAAATGTGATTGAAATTCTTGGATGTGACATTCACTACTACCGCTGTACCTACACACACACATGAGTGACCTGAGATAGTTAGCTTGTTCCCAGCTAGAAATATCTAGTAGGGAAACATAAAATACGGCTATAAAACTCGCAATCAACAGGTGGCTATACTAGCCAGTACATCCTCACATACAAGGACACTCTTCAACCCCCTCCTATCACTACTCATTTACAAATAAATCGATCCTATCAACGTTTCAGACTTCATAATATCTGAACCCATTCTCAAAATGGATAGTATTAAACCCCAGCTCGTTCTCTTTCGACAAAATCCATTCCGATCCTATCGATATCTTGCCGTCTCGAAGCCAAATCCATCAGATGCCTTAAAAAACTCCACGTTTCGCATAGTTCCAAACGATACTATGCAAATGATTGCTAAATATCTCACTCCTGTATCGGCTGGATCCTTTTTCCTCACTTGTCGACAGATTGGCTGGGTGATTGGAACTCAATATATCGATGGCTTGAAGACTTCGAAAGACGACACAATGGAATTTCTGAATCTTTTGGAACATGATCTTCAGGATCAGATCGTTTGTACTGTCTGCAGAAAGCTTCATAGAATACAAAATGCTGAGAGATATGCCAAAAAGTCTTATTGCTGGAATGAATATTCAACTAACCCCGCGATTTCTGGACTTCCAGCATTTGATACAATACCAACTTGTTTGAAAGAAGATGAACTACGCCAGGTGGATTTGTATACTCACAAGAATTTTGGCGTCACTATTTCCAAAATGGCAATGAAAAACTACCGACTTTTTGGTAACGATGCTCAAACCCAGCGGCTCTTAAGACTTTTGTCGGCACCTGAGAACTACTCCGTTGATAAGTTTTCTAAGAGTTTGACCACAGAGAAGAAAGGAGAGTGTCGTATGAAGAATGGTTCCCTATTCACCCGAAAATTCATGAATTACAATTGGAAATGCCAAAGTTTTGAAGCACCTAGTTATATACATATTTGTTCTCATCTGAATCTCGAGAAAGATGATTCTGAGTTCCGCACGAGATTATACTGTGCCTACAGTAGACCTGAAGATATATGGTCAGCGTTACAAGAACCTTGTCAGGAAAACACCGGCACCGACGAGAGCAACACATCTCGGCATGTTCATTCGGGACTTTTGCAGTGTCGATATTGTCTAACAGTATGTAAAGTTGAATTGAAGCACCATAACCGACACGCGATCTCTCACTGCAACACAGCACTGACAATCGTTGTTTACAAGCAATTTGAGTCGGAGGAAGATTGGAGAACGCATCTGCCGCTTTATGATTCAGATGACGAGGAAAGCGAACCGATTGAGTTCTCTAAAGAGAAAATCAGCTCTGTCTTTGAAGTGGATGATACTGGTTTTGGACTTAGAGTTACTTCTTGGATTGAGTTTTATCTTACATGGCAAAAAGTGTTTCTGGATGAACTGGAATTGGTTTGTCTTGCAGTTATATTGTCACTATTGTACTGGCATGGTACATAATTAAGGCAACAAACGGTATCTATAACTCCCATCTTCGGATAATCTTCTCGCTAAAAACACTCAATATAGACACGATTCATCGAGATACATGCCATATTTCTAAGATTTCACGAAATGCGATAAACTAGGTAGGAATCTGATTCAATTCTCCGAATCAATACATTCGAAAAGGAACAAACTGGTATCAAGATAGTCAGAACTCAAACCATGGATTCTGATGCGACTTTAATATTAATGGTACTAGACTCGGAACTTTCAAGTCTGATAGAGGTTACGGTAGGGAGAAATTAGAGGAAGTTGTTATTCTAGTCTATTGGTGTAGGTAAAAAACGGGGTGTCTAATAGTCTGGACTATAGTTTTACAGTAATAAAGATCATTAAATTCCCAAATCAATTAGAAGAATCAAATCATTTGAGACATTAAATGCGATTGAAATATTGAACAATTTTTGAATTTCGAGTTACTTTTAGATACTTCAAATCTTGTATTGTTGCATTGCAGTTAAATCATTGAATACTCTGGGAGAGAGATACAAAGGTTTCAATAACCCGAACTTTAGTACCATAATCATAGGCTTTTAGTTTATACATCCAATCGATTAAATAAAGTCAATTGATACTGTGCCAGCTTAGCAAAAAATGAGTGTATTATGTATGCACTGTTCAATATCTACCAATGTAAAGAATTGAATACCCTGATACCATACACTAAGTTTTCCAAACTCTTACTCATCCAATCCGACCATCTTCAGAGAGTCTAGCCAAAGTCTACCTTCTTTTTCTTTGTCAAAAGCATGCTCCACATATCCCGGAATATTAGCAACGTGATCGAGCTGACGATCAGAAGGATAGAGTCCTACAACTTCGCAATTTTCTAGGTATACTCCGCCTTTGTTCTCAAACTCCTTTCCAATTGCAGCTAACACTGTTGTCGCAGCACCTTGCTCTGGACTTTTCATTGTTTTTCTCATTACCTCTGTGGCATTGTACTCCGCGACGTCTTTTGGGTCAAGATGTCTACTAATCCCAGACAGTATTGCTCCCGGCATCAGTGACGTTGCATGTAACCCTCGCTGACCATAGCGACGATCAATCTCATTGGCCATGTAGATATTGGCTATCTTTGATTGTGAGTATGAACCCCATAAGTCATACTCTTCTGGCCTTTTGGTGTAGTTGTAATCTTCGAGTCTGATACCCCCATTACGATGACTGGCGCTGGATACCATAACCACCCGCGAATTGAATGATGGAGAAGCAGAAGAAAGTAATGTATCCTTCAGCAGTTGAAAAAGTAGAAAATGTGCCAAATGGTTAACCCCAAATTGCATCTCGAACCCATCCACAGTTGTGTTATAATTTGGGATCGCCATTATTCCAGCATTGCACACTAACACGTTTAACTTGGAGCTTTTGCTTAGAAATTTCTCCGCGCCCAACCTCACCCCAGCTAATGAACTGAGATCCATTTTCAGAATCTCCACTCGACCGGGTTCCAAGATATCCTCGAGTACTTTTTCAGCAGTGGTGATGTCCCGTGCAGTTAGATACAATGTCGCTCCCGTGGTAGACAGAGCTCTGGCTGTTTCGACACCAATTCCCGAAGAGCAACCGCTTATGAGGAAGACCTTTCCGGTGAGTTTGCCTGTTAAATCCTCATCCTGTACAATTTGCAAGGCGGTTGGACGTGCATCACCCGGCCCATTAGTTGACTTATGTGCCTCTGTCCACTTTGAAGGCATATTCTTTGTAATCTCTCTCGAAGAAGGGTGTGAGAAATTCGAAAACGATGATATAATTGAGGATGGAAGTGAACTCTTGCCAAGGAGCAAGGAATAGATTTATGTAAGTTATCGTATATCTGTATCATTTCTCTTAAGAATTGGAGGATGGAAGGGAATAACTATAAAGCTGGGGGTTATGGTACTTGTTGCATTGCAGAACACTAACTGCAATCATCATTGGTCAACGGGACGTCAAAATATGCAGGATTGGGCAAAACGGAAGAATCCAAAATGTTCAAATTCCGAGATACCATGTACAGAGAGCTGCCCTACCCATACAAATCTCTCACGACTTCCGTATCAACAAGACTCTCAGAAGCAAATGAAAATCTCCAGGTTATATCAAAAGATATCGGTGCTTACTTATCATTCCAGAAAAAAACACAACCACCCCACACTACCCCACTATCACAAAAAAGCTTCAAAACTTTGAGCCCACCACAACTTCAAAAATCGACGACAAAACAATGATTCAAAATTTTAAATTGATTGAAAAGGCAAAACAACAATGCGTTCGCCGGGAATCGAACCCGGGGCCCATCGAAGTTGTTTCGCACTCCTTGAAAGAGATTGATGGCAACGATGGATTTTACCACTAAACCACAAACGCTGGTGATTACTTAGTAATGATGGAGGGGAAAGCGTTGTTTGAATATATAAAGTTATTTTGTTTGTTTGCTAGATAACAAACTAGATAGAGGTCAGAGGAAGGCGTGCCAATGGTATTCGATTCCATACTGAGATTTGCATTTGGAATCGGTCACTTGCTTATCTTCTACATCTGTTGGAAGAAAAGGGGAATCTTTTGACAATTTTCTAGACGACGAGTAGGGCTTTCCCTCCGAAGAGAATGATGAAGATGTCACTTGGTAGATTCTAATATATAGATTTTGTGGGAACAGTTGATTATTCTTCATATCTCTTCCTTAAATAAATCTAAAACCAAAAATAATAATACCAAAGATAGACTCCCGGACCTAGGGTGTTCTGCTATTGTCCAACAGACACTAAACAAGCGGGTCAAGCTGGAGAGATCAATCATTTGCTACAACAAGGAGGATATTGATAGATAGCGTGCTGTTTCTAGTTGATTCGATCCAAAGTTCTTCGAAAAAAAATTTGCCGCCACTCATTTAACTGTGAGAAGCATCCCATTCAAATAATTAAATCAGCTAGCAAGTGTCGTAGTGCGTCTTTCTTTCAAGTATAATGGTAGCAAGCCAATACGTTGTTATTGGAAAGGGATCTGATGAACTATGCATATATAAGTCAATCCCGTTCCTAAGGGTTATATTAAGATGTGCTGTTAGTGTGCTAAATGTAGAGCCTAGCAAAGCGGCGAGAGTGTTGTAATCTTCGGAAGTGTTGCCCTGCGTCATACAGTCGACTATTCAATCTGTATATCCCTAGAAGCAGGGTGTCCAACAGTCCGGACTGCAATCTAACCTATTTAATTTGACGATTTGACGAGAGTGAATGTTTGAATGACGTTGAAGAGCATCGACAAGAAAAAGAAGGGTTCATTCCTGTCATTGGTTCAATCGGCTTCTCCTAGACGTCCTGAATACATGGGAAATTTTCCGAACAGTTTGAGCCCAACATCGGAGTCGCCTATTTGAAGTATTCACCCAGATTTAGACAACCTCAAATGTTTGGATGCTACTTCTAGTCCAAATGGATTCCATAAATTTACGAAAAGTAGAATCACTGATTCCACCACCGACTGCTATGCCACCTTTATCAAGCGTGGCAATACCCACTCTCTCATATACCTCTGGAGTTTCTGATTGCTTCAAAACTAGTGCTAAATGGCGGTAATCATTACGCCTAACACCTTGAAATGAATTGATCCACAAGCAATGTAATTCTCCATAATCGACTCTGTCTTTGATAATTCTTGACAACGCCAGTGGGTTATCTGCTATCAGCTTCCCCAAACTTTGATTGTCTTTGATCGCTCGACTCTTTGCTTTAACATCATGGAAGTACAATTTGTAACCTTAGGATCCCTCGTAGAACAATTCTACTTTTGTTGGTGTAACGGACCTTCCCTGCAAAACAATCTTTCCACTTTTAACACCACCGTATATATTAGACGGATCGATTAGAGTTGTAAAGCAATCCAAAATCTTAAAATCGGGGGCTATACCACCAGTACTGTAGTGGATCCCTATGTTAACACTCTGACCTGGCTTCCCGCTTGGTATGAATTTTGAATCCAGAGAAGCCCATGGCCATGTGAGTGCATTGTATGGGACGATTCGAACTACCTCACGAGGTTTATTCTCTGGGAAGGTCACACGCCATAGCAAATCATGATGCAAGTTGTCTTCCCAAAGACCCGCGAAATAACGTGATGTTGTCGATTTCCCATTCTTTATCCTACGTTTGTGGCTCTCGAAGTGAGACGCGATCCCTGCAATAGCTGGGAGCCTATCTGCTGGCTTACTGAGATTGAGCTTGGAATATTCATCAATTATTCCCCACTGTCCGAACCATAGATCTTTCTTTCTTTCAGTGGCTATAGTTATGATACCGTGGTACTATGTCAAGGTTAAAATGAATATCACACGGGCATATACAAACGACCATGCTGCCGCATTCTTAGGTAATTTCTGCTGAAGTGAAATGTACAGTCCAAGGTGCCAGGAAACGTTCCTGATATACCCACGCTCGGGACATCTGGACAATGTTAGCCTAACCCTTCTGCATGCCCTTCTGAAACTCCTACCATAGGACCTTCTATACGTAGTTCGGAATCGTGTAAGTGGCTGTGGTCTATCTCCTGCATATAGATCTAATAATCGCCATGGTTTGAAGTACTTCCTGCACCCCGAATCTCACGTGGAGTCCCCAAGAATCCATCCTCCTCATTCCAGCCGTCACAGAAAAGACCAACCGTACTACCCTTGCAAGCAGTTGCAGCTATATTCAAGAAACTAGAAGAGTAAATATGTGCCATTCTGGAAGCTTCTAAATTCCAATCTTCTTCACTATCTTGGATGATACAAAGTGAATCAATCCATATATGATTTACGTTCAGGTGGTAGGTGATAACTACAGCATCTCAGAATGTTTTTGGTAAAAAGTCAAGAACAATCCCAGACGCTCTATCGGAAAGAGTGGCCTTTAAGGTCGTAATAGGCGCATGGGTCGCATCGCCCCAACAGTGACTTAGGGTTGTGTATTTTTGGCGTTTTCCATGGCTGTGAATCAAGTAAACTTTACCATCAGATCCAACCCGACTAACATCTAGCACACGAGTAGGTAGCACTGGCATGATAAGTTCGCTGACCTCGTGGAATTGATGGCCTGTAAGACCTAAACTATCAAGGCTCACGCACTGGCTGAGCCACGTTTAGATATGGCGAATTGCATTCCATATCTTAACTCGCGGAGGAATATGTTGCTGGGGTGCAAAGCAAGGCCATGGTGGAGGTTGACCTTGGAGTTTCAGTTATAAAATTTCCAACGTAAGTTATTGCAGAATTGTCGAGGCGGTCTTACCAGGCAAGGTGCTGAGGCTGACACAGTACTCTCTTAGGGGAGGTTCCTTCCCATCCAAAGAAACTACCGCAGCTAAGTAGCCATATTGGAAAGAAAATTTCAAGAAAGCCACACACTCCACTTTGTAAGTTGCAAATTTCAAGAGGATTGAACACAGCTCGCAGCCTTCTGGTGCTGTTTTCCTTATCGTATACACTCCGATATGTCGATCTCCAGGTTTTAACTTGATTGGATCAAACGGGTGTAATACCGAACAGGTTTTACATGATCTTTGTGTCAAATCCTTACCTTGCGCATAGTGTAGCAGCGTATGGTTATCGGCCAAACGGTTGTTATCACCTTCTCGTTCATGGCTGTCTAATATTACGTCGCCCATGCTCTGATCTTGTTGAAGTTGCTCAGAATTATGTTGAGCAAGAAAGTGCAGCAAAAGAGGAATTCTGTTTATCAGCTTCATCATTTGTCTCCCGCGGCAAATTGTCCAATTATCGGCTTGGCATTCTAGATTCCAATTCTGAAGTACCTAGTTGTTGTTCATTTGAATGGAGCCGCTGGATATTATGGATAACGCCAAGGGGTCCAATGCTCTCGAGGAATCCAGTGTTCTAAGTGAATACGATGTTTCCGACAGAACAAACATGAGATAGACCAACGGTTAATAGTTTCTCGCAATATGAGCGAAGTAAGATGTTGCTGCGTTGTCATTGACCCGCTGGATAAATTTTATCGACAACAAAAGCAGCAAGCCGTGATGTAGTGTCACGTGGTATAGTTGGTAATGATCCACTCGAGCCACTCTCCTCTCCTCTTTACTCCACTCTTCGTATCTCAACACCTTCTCGGAGGATTTTCAACATCTGCCGCAGGACCATCTTTCACGAAGTATAGAACAACTCGATATACGGAGTATGGTCCGACCGTACCCAATATGATCGATGCTTGCGTTCGTGAATGCAACAACGCTCATTACTCTTCTTCTCATTGTTCAAAGATCTAATCTCCTGGACTTCGCAATATTTTTGCGATGAAAATCCTATGTATCGAGACGAAAAGTTCTTTTAATTCCAAGGCACACTGTACATGGAACTATTAGGCAAACTACATCGGTATTTATTGGATCGCAGGTAAGACAACATCTTTTAGACTGGTGGACCTCGGGATGATAGAGGTCGACGGCTTAACATAGTCTTGTGAACATCAAGCTTTTCTCCCGCTATTTTCCCATTATGTCAGGGCCAATCAAAGCCTCCGGAAATATATACTTTCATACTTCTAATTGACAGTTCTACGTACCTGCATCTGCCGAATTATTCCATCAAGTGGCTATGGTTACAATTGAAGTGGGTACCGACACCAGTGCTTAAGCGAGCATACTTTTCACATGCACAACGGGACGGGCAGCTCGATTCGGCAGTTTATTGCCGGCCTGGGGCCCCGGATTTCAATATTGGGTTAATCACAATTCTTAAACACTCTGGCTTACCCCGCAGATCTAATTACCAAAGATCAACCTGTGTGCTGCCGATTGGAGCGCATGGAATATCTTTATACCTGCAGGTCTTGGGACCCGGTATTGGATATAAATATCTGCAGCTATACAATCCGCTGTTTTAGTTCAGAGAACTAACTAATAGCAGATATATGTTCTAATTAAAAGTGGCACGGGTCACTGAAGTGGCGGGCATTCCTCCACTGATTGTTGACATAGTGCATAAATTCTACTAACAATACCTATGATTAGGTATGCGGGGTGCATTCGGGATGACCCGAGTTCCCCATCAAATTGGTGCTGTCGTTTCTTTAGCACTGTACAAGTCAGACCTCGTGACGCGTATAATACTTGTTCCGTGAGCATCAGAGGTGGAATAAAAAGTTCCATATGACTCTTGGTCCTCGGATATCTGATGAGTGGCTATTTTAGAGTAATTATCAATACGACTAGGTAGGTGCATGCTATGCGTACCAATCAGGAGCATGCAAGCCAAGCTCCACAAAGTTGATGAAGATAATAAAAGGCAGGCCAGACGCCGACCTTACAGTCTACAGTTCAACGTTAGTGGCCATCTAAGCTTCTCGTTAATGATTTGAGAACTTTCAAGCGTGCCTCACCGTCGTTCCGCCACAAAAGTGATTAGATATGTTTTCACGTCAAAGACTCCAACGCGCTCGCGTACTTGCTCTAGGCCTTGTTGCCGCTAGCCCTCTCGCTGCTGCTGGACCCTGCGATATCTACTCCTCTGGTGGAACTCCGTGTGGTAAGCCCCCAATTGATTACTTCAGATCTCGTTACGTTGTAAAGGTTCCTGATGGCTGACCCCTCAATCTTACAGTTGCCGCACATAGTACTACTCGAGCTTTGTACAGTGCCTTCAGCGGCTCGCTCTACCAGGTAAGCAATCAGATGCTCAACCTTATATTCTTTGGTAAACGATCACTGACTCTTCGATATACTAGGTTAAACGTGGCTCAGATGGAACAACTACAAACATTGCACCTCTAGCTGCAGGAGGAGTGGCCAATGCTGCTTCTCAAGACACTTTCTGCGCTAACACCACCTGTCTCATCACAATAATCTACGATCAGTCTGGCCGTGGTAATCACCTCACCCAAGCTCCTCCTGGAGGATTTGACGGTCCCGATGTGAACAGTTACGATAACTTGGCCTCTGCAATTGGCGCACCTGTCACACTGAACGGTCAAAAAGCATACGGAGTCTTCATTTCGCCCGGAACAGGCTACCGCAATAATGCCCCTAGTGGAATAGCTAAAGCTGATGCAGCGGAGGGTATGTACGCAATTCTTGATGGAACGCACTACAATGGTGGATGTTGTTTCGACTATGGTAATGCAGAGACTAGTAGTCTTGACACTGGTAACGGTCACATGGAAGCCATCTACTTTGGTGACAGTACCGGTTGGGGATCAGGATCCGGCAGTGGTCCTTGGCTCATGGCCGATCTTGAGAACGGCCTATTCTCCGGTGTGAGTGCTGGTGTCAACACTGGAGATCCATCAATCACCTCACGTTTCTTCACTGCAGTCGTCAAGGGAGGACCAAATCTATGGGCGCTTCGAGGTGCCAACGCTGCATCTGGCGCTCTGTCGACGTACTATAGTGGTGTGCGCCCAAGTGCGTCTGGCTATAACCCAATGAGCAAAGAAGGTGCTATCATTCTCGGAATCGGCGGAGACAATAGTGTAAGCGCTCAGGGAACTTTCTACGAGGGTGTGATGACCACTGGTTATCCATCTGATGCCACCGAGAACTCGGTACAGGCCAACATCGTAGCTGCTAAATATGCTACCACATCATTGACCAGCGGAACTGCTCTTACCGTTGGTTCCTCGATCTCCCTTCGGGCTACCACCGCCGGGTACACAACACGCTACATTGCACACACTGGCGCCAGCGTGAATACTCAAGTTGTTACGTCATCCAGCACCACCGCGCTCAAACAACAAGCTAGCTGGTATGTTCGCACCGGTCTTGGAAATAGCGCCTGTTTCTCCTTTGAGTCAAACGATACCCCCGGCAGCTACATCAGACACTACGACTTTGGACTTCTGCTCAATGCCAATGACGGCACCAAGGCGTTCCACGAAGATGCTACATTCTGCCCACAAGCTGGTCTTAACGGCCAAGGTAACTCGATTAGAGCTTGGAGTTACCCTACCCGCTATTTCCGTCACTACAACAATGTACTCTACGCTGCGTCCAACGGTGGAGTTCACACCTTCGATCTCGCCACCTCGTTCAACGACGACGTAAGCTTTGTTGTCAGCACCGGCTTTGCTTAGATTCTTTGCCGAATACCCTCTAGTTGCTGAAGCGTTTCATTGATTTTCTTCTGTATGAGTTGGTCCACTGCTTGTTCGTTCACGTCAGTCTATTGAAGCATGTCAGTTTGTAAATACACACGTTATAGGGCTAGTTTAGGCAGTATTTTCCACAAGTGTTATAGTCATTGGTGTAAAAGTCTCTCATAGCACATCTGTACATATATATTTTAGTGGGATACATAGCAACAGAATTCAAAAGTTAAATTCAATCTTTTCAAATCCCACATGTGATAGTACTACCGGATCTTAAATAGACTTTCCTCGAATAGATATGAATGGATTGCTTCCCCATTCATAATCCTGTCCATATATGCTTCACCAACCAACTGCCAATGCACTTCTCCATCCAGATTCAATGACTTCCGTAGTACCACAGGCACACTACAGCCGTATAGAATGCAAACCGAATCACCGTAGTTTGCGTTTTGAGGAACGAGACCTACCACGATGTTTTCCATCTCTTTGTTGCTGGCACTTACGCTTAATTTCAGTTGACAAGAACGCCGATTCCAAACGATGTCTCGGACAACTTTGAGGTGCGCTTTGACAGTATCCGAAGTTTGGATATTCAGAATAAGCTCCTCAATATCAATGACCAAGCTCGGGTGCTGCTGATTAATGGAACCGCAGCTGCTGGATACAGTGTTCAAGATACTAGTCATTGCTTCTTCATAGGCCAGCGGTGCAGGTTCGCCCTTGTCGTCGCGATCTGCGCAAATAATGCGACAAGCATCTGGCACATGTATTCTATTCGTGTCTCGACCGGGGCTTATCGATCCTAATGATTCTAGGCCTTCTGTCGTCAAGATAGCATCAGCGAATCTTGTCGATCTTCGAATGATTTCTCCAAGAATTATTCCTTTGGTGTGTAATGATCCATTGCATACACCGTCAACGCCACATCCGACGTGGACATCAGGTTTAGTTCCGCCATGGGCATTGTAGAGTCGCTTCTGGTTACGGCTGACCAAAGAGATACCGTTTATTCGGCGGTTTGATCGCCAAGATGTATTTCCAAATGGTAAATTGTCTCGGGATGATATCCATGATGGATACGATTGTACACCGAAACGCTGCCTAGTTTGGTAGCTGATATCAAGTGTCGTGGAGTTTGAGATTGGGGCCCAAGGACGGCAGATAACGTCCAGCGAGCCCGATCGCCGGCAAGAGTGCAGGATGAAGTCTACAAATACATCTAGTATACCCTTACTATAATCAGGAGTTATATAGTCAGACGAATTAGATTGCGGAGCGCGAGTGGCATCATTAGAAAGGTTTAGTAGAGAAAAGATAGTACCCTTTTGTCGGTAGTCTCACTGAGTGTGGTCAATTCCACAAGCGTTTCTAAAGTCAAAAGGCAGCGAGTTCTCGTACCCACTGCGGACTTTTCGAACGCGCCTTTGATATTATCGAGAAGTCTAACCGCAGCCGAATGATGAAAGTTTGCCAGGACTGTCGTCGTGAATAAAGGGGGCGTGCTACTCGGATTAGCCCGAACCAAGTCTAAAGCCCTGTAAGATGGTCCATATGAACCTGTCGATCACCACAATAAATGGAGGAGTTTCTTGAAAAGGCAGCTTCTTGGAGAACCCAGCCCCTAAGAAACCATGTTCTTTCCAAGATGCGAGCCAGGCCAATTATCCCGTAGTGCTCCCACCATCCGGCCTTCCACCGAAATTCGTTTACTGTCATTTTAGCAACGAGACCTATAGCAAACTTGCTAGTTGAGTCCTCCTCACCAAGCCATATGAGCACACCAATGGCTGCTGTGTATATTGTTGACATTTGACTAAGTTGCGCATTTCGTTCAAAGTCATCACGCTGGTTGATGCAAAGAGAATCCACCCATATATGAATAGGAGCCTGAAGCCTCATTCTTTGTAAAGCATGAAAAAGATTTGGTCTTATAAATCTAGCTTCTCCGTTGATCATAAGACCATGGATCTTGGGCTCTTGTCCCCAAACATAGCTCAAAGTATAGTATTGTGGGTGCGTTGAAGTGTTATGCTCAGAGACCTCGCCAATAATGGTGCTTCCTACTGCTCCAGGCTCCAACCGCAAGATCCGAAATTGATCGGCACCTAGCGGCTGGGAATATAAGGGCTGGCTGGAGATATCGGGAGAAATTGGCTCCGTTTGTCTGGGCGCACGATTGTTTCTACGCTTTTGAATCTCTTCCCTAAGTCTTCTAAGTGCAATTTCTTTTCTTTCGCCATATATAAGAGGCATATAGACGCCAAACAGGCCTAGCATTGAACATGCAATATCTTCTTCAAATGTAGCCTGGCGATTTTCAATCTAAGAAAAATCTTCTTCGGCATCTATTTCGAATATTCCAACATCGCTTCGGATCACCGAAATTGGAATACCAGCTATCTCGTGAATCAGCGGCACCAAATTTGGCTTACTACCTATAAGTTTACCCTCGCGAGTAAAAAAGTGTACCACAGGTGGTGCAAGAAGCTCTAGAACAGTCCAGCCCCGCGTCAACCACCTACTTCGCCGCATTTGTGCCTCTGAAGACTTTTCGCAATTGTGTCTGCTTGGCATCCATTCTGCTGATACATGTTCTAAGTAAACGCAACATAGACTAGCATCTTGGTACCAACGGAACATCGAGTTAATTGCCTCTTTTCTTTCCACGCTGCTCGATATGTCGATACAGCATGTGTCTATCCAAAAGTATTCGAGGCCATTCTGTCTAGCCATATTTTCGCAAAACAAAAGTTTCTCATGCCCAGCCTTGTCTCCACCCGGACCATTCACCAAGTCTTGGAAAGTGATCTCGTCGATACCCCATGTGTGCAAAAGTATAGCATATTTTGGTACGTCATCTATGTAGAACATACTTATGCCCTGCCAGCGCTGATACTTTTCAAAAGCCTCATTGTTCGAATCAATGGTATTAATTGTGTTGAATCCGAGTATGAATTCTCGAGACATTCAAGGATAGCGGATTTAATTGGAAGGAACGTCTGGTCAGAGATATGGATGTAAGTTGGCTGAGCTGGTCTCAAAAGAAAAGAGTGGTTCCGAAATTTTCAGCAATCTAGCCTCGTCAGTACGCCTGTCTACCAAATCAGATGTCAGAAATTCGGCATCCTTTTGTTACACAGAATAGCGAAAGGGCATCGACCCATGATAGGGTTCAAACGTTAAACCAATTTTTCGGCATGATACCATTCATCTTGAAATCCATTTACTCTTGCGTTCCGTTCCGGTAGCAGTGCTATGTGGCAATTGCTGTTCTGTAAGTCAATGGATAAAGATTCGCCGCTAATTGATCGAGGCGGGAGGCAATACACACAGACAATAAGCTTAGTGATAGTAAATAGATACGAGGCGTATTTACACTCTTCCTAACAGTTTGTGAAAAGTAAAGTACCCAGGGTATACCATGACCATATCCCAATAGAATAGTCCCAATCTATTCATTCCAACACGCCAAATCAACAAAGCCAATTGCAAGAAGTACAAGTACAAGATCATCACAAAAATGTCTCCGGGTCTGAAACAATAATTTACTCCTTCATGCCAGAGCTCTCACTTACACCTCTCCCATATTCAAACGCACCCATTTCTCCTCTCTCCAACCTCATGGCTGATGTTCTTCTCTTTCTCCTCCATACTACCAGCACCACCTCCAGTAGCGCAATGACGGCATATACACCCGCCATGACAGCTACATCAAGAATCTGGTCGCTAACTGGGTATTTGCTCTCCTTTCTCCCATCGTAGCCATATTGTTGTTTCAATCCAATAACCTGCACAGCACTCATGATAATTCCTCCTACCCAAACTAACATGTTTATTCCTTGCCACCACTTTACACGTCTTTGTATCCCTTCACTCCAAAACAAAGCAGCCGAGAGAAGGATTCCGGCGTAGGCGAATGGCAGTAAACCAATGCCATAGTGAAGGTTAGTCAACCGCACGATTTCGAGAGTAAGCATGGCGATGTTTGCAAAAATGAGGAAGTAGTAAATGATGAGGAAGGTGAGGTAAAGACATGAGGAGCGGGTATTGGAGCGCAAGTGTGCGGTGGAGGGGTTATAGTTGATTTTGCGGTGGTGTTGCCCTAGAGCAAAGAGGATAGGTACGAAGGCGAGAGCAAGCCAAGTTGGAAGGGGAATGAGGATAACGTCTGTGAAACAAGTTGTGGGGAGGGTTGAGGAATTGAGGTGGGAGGCTGGGCCCTGGAAAAACTGTCAGTGGATGCGAAGCTGAGGGGAAATGTATTGGGACGTACGAAGCCCTCGGGTCTGTTTGTACAGAGCATTCTGTAAAGGATCTCTAGTTGTGACGATGATAGATAATGCGCAATGAGTTCCCCGCGTCTGATTCAATGTCGCGGCTTTGATGATTTGTTTGGAAGATTGTCCGCAGGCACAAAATTCGTCCCAAGTTACTTGTGTATTTTGTGTCAAAATTGTTCAATTATTCATCCGATCTTCAAAACAATCAAGCCATATCGAGACAAGGATTCGTTCGTTCGTGTAAGATTTCGATCGTCGTGTTCGTCTCAAATCCTACCCGTCGTGTCTCACAATTTCTCCTTCGTGTTATAAAGAATCCTTTTCGCTCGGAAATACAGAGAACCTTGTGATGCTATCACGCAGGCATAGAAAAATAGGGGAAAGTAAAATAGAAATGAAGGTATATTACCAAAAGTAAGGAAAATAAGTGTCAGAGGAACTTGACCTACGCATTTAACTAGAGGCGTTCGGGATGTTTCTCTCCCGGAGGATCAACGACTAGTATGTCTTAGTGAAGGCCAGACGACCGGAGCTTAGGATATTAAGCTTATAGTGGTGCCGTGAGATATGGGACGTGAGGGTCCGGGGACGGCAATCCTATCAATCTATCGATTGATTTGTGTTTTTCTTCTGAAGAGCTCAATCCCTTTGGAATTCTCTGCAGTGTTCAGAGAGAATTGGCACCGTGCCCACATGGCCTTTCGTGCGAGAGGAAGCAACAAGAGCAAGGGAAAATTGTCATATATGTGAAAGACGACATGTTCTCGGCTATGGAGACATCCGCGAAGATACCTATCAGGGCATCTTGTTGATATGGGACAAACCTTATGATGTCGTTGGAAAGCATTCAGGGAGGAACAGTGGGACGTGGATAGAGGATCTTTTTGATCATAATTTTAAAAACAAAGCGGCGTCCAAAATATTGCCTACGTGAAAGCATCATCTAAAAGCGGCGTCAATTACCCCGTAATTTACCCGCATCTGGTCAAGAAGAACTCTAGGTGCTGTTGCTCAAGACTTTCTGAATAGATGAACAAAGTAAACCTATGTAAAATAATATAAACACATATATTATCACAATTTCAATTACACACATGCCATTCGTCTCGAGACCAACTTTACTTTAATTGACCCGATCCGATCTCAAATGTTCATTGGTACTTTACTGTCCACAGCTTTCTTCCTTCCGGCCCCTTCACTTGCCGAGGATGAGGGAAACAAGTCTCGTCGAATCACATCATCAACTCAATGTCTCTTGACAGCCGTGCCCTTTCTATCAGTCAGTCGCCAGTCGCCTGCATTTTTGTCTTTCACCAGAGATTGTAGATATTTTCAATTCTCTTCCATACGCCTCTTAGACATTCTTTCGGCTCTTAATTGGCCTCTACTGCTATCGAGTCGGAAGTTCGTATATACCAAGGTTCATTAACAATCGACAGCAAACAATGTTTTGGGGAAAACTCACGCTCTTGTTAAGCTTTAAGCATTTCTATAAGGATTTTCTTTTCTTCTAACTACCTAGCTTCGGCAATTTCCAGGACTGCGCCAGTGCCTTCAAAGTAGATTTCAATTTGGACAATATCGTCTTATTTCGACAAAGCGTCGGCTCTTCAATCTAATCTTTCGTGGGCAAATTGTAACTTAGCATTCATATGCATCTCTTCTATTCTCACCCAAAAGAACCATTCTGACAAACCTTTCACTATACAAAGGCTTTCCTAACTCCTTCATAGAATTACTTCTGGGGATTGGATCAACAAGTTCTTCATACCCCAGTGAGATCATTTGGAGACTTCCAGTCGCGTAGCATTGAAGTAGCAATATTATTAACAACCATTCTGACTTTATTATAACGACACTAGTGGTTTAATTATCTCTTGGAGTTTTGCTGTGCAACCCTGAGTTCTCTTATCTACCTACTTATATTCTGCCACACTTCCCACATATGATGGGTCCTACTATTTTCAATGGCCCGGGCTGCAGTTTAACATTCAGATGCTTCCAATATCTTGATTCGAAAATTCTATTGGTTTGAAATCTCAAGTTCATTTCGAATATTGGAAGACTTAATATTTTAAGCTCACATTAAGGCTGCTAGTTCCAAACTGTGGAACACTCTGATGGACGCTAAACCATTTTACCCACCACTAACTTGAAAAGCTTGGATGTTTGCAATTGCTTTCATCTCCACGCTTTCAAGCGTTTAGAAATAAATGCCCAAGCCAAAACTCCCTTCAGTGTCACCAAGCAATTTAGGAGACCCTTCTCCAGACGCTGTGTCGCTTAGCAGCGTAGACATGGGGGATAGTGGGGTCGTGGAATCGTCTTCGAGGCTTGGGAATTTGTCTTGATCATTATTAATAGTAGCTGTGAGGGCTGCCATGGGAGATAGTGAATCGTTAGGATTTGTAAGTCGGTGCGGATTTTGATCCTGATATTTGAGAGAGAGTTCTGCTTTCATAGCCATAGATTCCACAATTTTTTGGAAACTTGCTACATCGCTCAGTTCGTCTTCTATGTCTGCTACCAGCTCATCTGGTTCAAGAAACCAAACCAACTTCTTGCCAGGGGTACAAGTATGAAGAGGAAAATTGGGGTCGGCGAACTGGTGTTGACTGATTCTAGGAGTCTCTTCCTCTTCATCCTCCTCCATTCTCAACTGTCTCAGAACCTCCCCTCTCTCCCCGTTTCTCTCCGCTTGCCTTTCTTTTTCTTCTCTCGCCTTCCTCTCTGCCACTTTTGCCGCTATTGCTCTCGTAACACATGCAGGGCAGCGTTGCTTAAGTCTCAGCATCTTAAATTCAGTCTTTTGACCATTTCGACCTCTTGCTTCGCTACATCTATTGGTGTCTATTGATTGATCTTCGATCTCGCGGAAGAGTCCACAACGTTCTAGCTCCAATGGTTTTTTGGTTCCCGTCCTGCAGCTGGGGAAACAGCTATACATGATGTAGTATAGGACACACATTTGGTAGAGAGCTTCGAGGACCTGGTACTTGGCAAAGTGTTAGGTATATAGAGGTATGATTGGCTGGGACGCGACCAAGATGGAGATACTCACAGTTACTCTTGAAGACTGATCGCCGGTTAGACAGTGAATCCAGAAACGAAGCCGAATAGGTTGAATTTAACATCCGATAAGCTAAAGACGGGATGTATCAACAAAGTAGTAACAACTGTACTTCTTTCTAGGAAAAGGCACAGTGTGAATGATAAATATAGTTGAAGAGTTGGATACGGCCATCTTGATAAATTATTATGGGGCGCCGACACGTTCACTCTGCCGTATAATCAAAACAAGATGAACTTTCAGTGTGAGTGAATTAAAGGATATATTGACTTTGGATTGTGCCAACTTGCATAGCTAGGATAAAGTAATCGACACTGTCGCCTAACTTTCAAACATGAGGGTGCAGGTTGAGAATTGTGCTGAAGTCCTGGATCACGAAACGGCGATGACTCCCTTTCCTCGAGATAATCAGGATGGTGAAGACATAATGATTCCAATCAAAAAAAAGCTGTATGCGAGTTGATACAAAATCCTCAGAGCACATAATTCCTCAAAATAGCTGCGAGGTTTACAAGTAATCCTGCACAAAGCCAACAGATTCTCCCAATCACTGCAAGAATATTGCTTCAAAATGGAATTTATTCTCGGCTTTCAGAAAGTAATAAGAGGATTTGGCATTTTAATTTTGGATTGGGGTCCATACCACCAAATTCATCGCATCTACTGTAATTGGACCGGCTTTGTGTTGGTTGTTGTGTGGCTTTAAATTAAACGAAAATTGAGTCTTATCCGGTAACCTGAACCGGATACCATTTTGATGTGCAACTATGTAAGAAGTTTTTATTGCAGAATTCAAAGTCTATTACTTTGCAGAATAAAAGAACTCATTTACTTCCTTATATTCCTTAACCATCTAAGGACAATGATCATTTTTACCCCCGCATAATAGAAGGGTAGCACTCAAGATTACTCTAAAATGACTAAGCGAAGCCTACATGATATATTTATTTACCTACCGGTACTTGAAGATCTCCATTGCACTAATCAAGTCTGGGGATCATATACGCTAAACTAAGTAGTGACGCTCTTCTTTTGAACAGTTACATCACAAATTGTCCAGACCTTTCCCTGAAATGTGTCTCTTTTACAACATCATCGATTCCCACAACACCCAGCTCCAGCCAAGATGGATCGTTGTGAGAAACTTTCCGCCCTCCTTAAATCGCTATCGATACGCTGCAAGCACAAACGAAACGCATTAACAAACTCATCGTTCAAGAGATTCCCTAGAGAATTGATTGAACAGATTGCTGACAGCTTAGATGTCGCATCGGCCGCACTATTCTCCATTTCGTGCAAAACAATCTATTTTATCATTGGACCTAAATACATCCTCAATCTAACACGCCACGAGAACTTGTTATTCCGAAGGATAATGGAATATGATATTAAGAATTTGCCCTTGAATGGTTGCTGCAATACATATTGTGCTCTGCAACGTTCGAGCCCCGCAAAAGGTGTCAGCAGGATTCTTCGGAACCTTTCAAAACTTTCGGTTGACCACAAAAAAGATTGAGTAGATCATATCGCATGAATGAGATGGCTGCATCATATCTAGCCCGGGATCTACATCACCACATCTGCTTCTTTGCCCCTTATCACCGAGATGATTTTCCCTGGACTGTCGAAAGAGACGTGCCTTGGAATGTTATCCGCGAAGGTAGTGAATCTGGTGGTTTCCAGAAGGATCAGATTACATTCGTTAAGACAATCGGTTCTACATTAGTCCGCCAACGTAGGGTTTTCCAAGGAAAATGTGGCGAAGTAATACGACTACGTGTCGATATATGTGCCCATCTTCAATGCTATTCGAATTCGATGCATATCCGTCCCCGGGTTTGTCCAACGAGCCGGGATCGAATTAGATACATACGCCGCAAATATCCTGAGAGCTCATGGGGGCTATACTGGAAGAAAGTTGAAGAAGAGACAAGTGAGATTGAACATTGTGTTGAGTGCCGGACTGAATTTTCAATTCGTTTCGTTCACGTACGAGACTGTATTCCAAATCTACATTGTCGCATGGAACTCAAAATCACTACCTGGAAAGAACTTGGGCGAAAGGTTGATGATAAGATCTGGAGAGGACACTTCCCTGAGCCTCAAAAATACGTCCCAATTCCTATCCCGCGAGTCAAAGCGACCAGAACAAGAATCGCTAATGCCTTCACTCCTTTGGCCGTTCTTAATCTACTGCCATTTGTATAAGTCGACATCTTTTAAGACCCTTGCCAAAACTTGGCATAAGCCTTGGTGTCAGTTTACTGTAATGAATCGATGGTATTGGAGACATCGCATATTTCTTTGTATGGCAACGTTTCGAACTTCTTCGGCATCTTATAGACAACTTTCAACGCTTTCTGGCATCATGGAGAGGCTTCTATAATAACTGGATTACGTGATAGAGGGTTGATTATAATGGTTTCTTCTGCCTCTCAAATAAAGATACGGAATAACAAAGGATAAAAGCGAAAGGGATTTCAAGATATCTGCAGAACTTTGATTTGGGGAAGGTTATACAATGGCAAGGATTTGACATGGGAGTCTGGAAAGTTGGTGCTACCAGGAGCCTCGATAATGAACATCTTTTGTATCATAAAAATAATCTTAATCAATATATAAAGTGAAATCCTCTAACCTGCCTTGAATCATTGAATCGGCCATATTGGAGTCCCTACCGAGCTGCCGCTAGAAAACAAAAGGGCAAACCGGACTACCACTTCATTTACCACCATAAAAACCCCAGAAATTCTCCCATTCGAAGCTGAGAATTCATCCCTCTACTCGAAATAAATTTTGAATGGAAGGAGTGATCAGTTCGATTTTATCAAGGTGAGCACCCGATTTCTCGTATATTCGAAATGTATTGATGGCAAAGGACAAAACGAGATAGGAAGATTGTGGGGTTTTGCATCGTGGCCGTGATCCAGTTCATCGGATTTACAACCTTTGAGGATTGATGTGGGAAATGGATACAGTGTCTCCAGAATTTTGAGGAAATGAGAGCTTTATGCCTTCCTGAACATTTTGGAATGTTCGCATTTGGAAAGAGTTACCATCGGGGCTCTGGATTCCATCGAGAAAGTTCGGCGTCTGGGTGGTTCTTTCTCTTATTTTCTTCTCTGTTTGAAAGACTCTGACTCCTTCTAAATACACTTTTGTACTTCGAAAATGATTACAAGAAGTAACACACCGGGCAGGAGCCATTTCTTCAACGCTGGCATGAATTTGGTTTATTATTCCGTAGGAATCGATGGGCCTCGTTTCTTTATATTTCATTCTAGTTCGAGTGATTTATGGTATCGTGTTTTGAATATTATCTTGTCATCAAAGATACTTGTCTTTGCGTCAAAAAGGTACTTCACAGTTGATATCCAAAATATGTGACGGGAGCAGACTTGTTTTTTCCATGCTTCCCAACAATTACTGCTTCTTTCTGAGAGGTCTGGATAACCAATATTCACACACAAGTTCTTCACAAATCTCACCAGACTTCTTAATGGTTGTTCGGTGTGAAGGGCAATTCAATCATGCATTTTTTTGGTGTTCATTGTGTAAGTTGTACTTTTGAAGCGATCCATCCTTTGGAACTCTGTTTTATCCCTTGTGACCTTTTAGAAGCCTAGAAGTGAATCTGGACTATAGATACATGAGTAGTGTCACTCAACACACAGATATCATTCACCTGGCACTATGCAGGCTCCTTGAAAGCATGCGAATCCCCACCAGACAAGGGTGCTGATCTGCTCAAGAAGAGTCTTATGGTCCACTGACATGCAAATCAAGACCTCAACGGAAGGAAAGAAAAGTTTCTCGGTGGTCCTTGTGAACGATTCACTTCTGGTTACTCTTCAAAGTCAACAAGGCGAAGAATTATGATCAGATATTTTCTAAAGTCATGTGAAATGGAGAAATAGCTTAACATCAATATTGTGGAGATTTTCCACCAGTTGCAGATCAAGAAAATCACGACATCAACAAAACCATTGACCAATCACATTCAGATTTATTTATGGTCATCACTCAATAGTTCGCTCTATATCGGCATAAATAGGGGAGAGGAACTTTTTAACGATAATGAGGATGAGAGGTTGAAACCCTCCGTAGTCGGACGGAAGGACTATATCACCAGTGCTGTGAGGTATTCTTTTGGGTCAATACTCAATACCCAGGTATGGGAAGGCTTGATGTACTTTCAATCAGCAAGGTTGGAGTGAATCTAGAGTTATCATGCTCAAGTTTGGAACTGCTGTATGTCCATGGGTGTTGATGTAGGGTTTGATTCCATTCTCGAAGCACCTTGACAGGTGTTGGCTTTTTGTTGAGATTCAGAAAGACTATATAATATCATTCACTTCAGGAATGTTCCTTTCGGAGTCAACACAGCCTCTTTTTCTGTATGATTACTAGCAGTCTGTTATCGACTCTGTTTGTTTGTAGAAACTAGGTCAGTGGAAGATCTTCGGGTATTCACCAGGCAAGAATTTCTCTCAACAACATTTTTCAGCCGTGCACTGAATCCAATCTAATATCCTGGTTGAAAAATTGCCCTAAAAACTAGTTTGGTGTCTCGGAACGGGACAAAGCGGCCGCTGGTGACTCCAGCATCATTTTTTCCCCTCCACAAATTTATTAATTTTGTCTGCCCCGCGTATTTCAGTCTTTCAATTCTTATCTCCAAACAACAACCTCTCCAATTTCTGGAAACCTCTTTTCAAAACACAAAAGCATCAAATCACTCAGAATATACCAAGATCTTTGGGATTATCTATTCAAGATGTCTGCCAACGATATCTATCAAACTCCCTTGACTTCGCGTTATGCAAGTAAGTATTAGACCTCTCCCCTCAGCAATTGATTGACAAAATCACAAATCCCAGTGGATTCTTCCTCTCCAGCCCATTGACTGCATCTTATGATGCGCTCTTCTCTTCTCGCAGTTAAACTTCATATTTGACAATCAATTTATTTGTTCAATCGTTTTTAAAGACTCAATGCTAATCATTCTGCTCTCACAGGCAAGGAGATGAAGGAGATCTTCTCTGCTCGCAACCGTGCTTCAACATGGAGAACTCTTTGGATCGATCTCGCTGAAGCCGAGAGAGAGTTGGGTTTGGATATCAGCGCTGAGGGCATTCAACAAATGAAGGAAAACAGAATTATGACCGATAAGGACTTCGAGGTTGCTGCTGAGGAGGAGAAGAAGCGTCGTCATGATGTGTAAGTTCTCTAAATCCTCGATTCTTCAACTTTAAAAATCCATTTGCTAACTCCTTATACTTAGTATGGCACATGTTCATGCATTTGGCCAAGTTGCTCCAAAGGCTGCTGGCATTATTCACTATGGTGCCACCTCCTGCTACTGCACCGACAATGCCGATCTCATCTTCCAGCGTGATGCTCTCGATTTGATCCTTCCAAAATTGGCCACTGTCATTCACAAGTTGTCTCAATTTGCTCTTGAGTTCAAGGATTTGCCTACCTTGGGCTACACTCATTTCCAACCTGCCCAGTTGATCACTGTTGGTCGTCGTGCATCTCAATGGGTTCAAGATCTTCTCATGGATTTGGAGGACATCAAGAGAGTTAGAGCTGATCTTCGTAAGTCTTTCTGACATTTCTCAAACTTGAGCTTGTCTTGCTCTCACCTCTCTGGACATTTGCTGATTCTTTCTGAATATAGGTTACCGTGGTGCCCAAGGTACAACTGGTACACAAGCTAGTTTCATGGAGATCTTCAAGGGCGATGGGGCCAAGATCGACCAACTTAATGAAATCCTTTGCGAGAAGGCTGGCTTCCCAAGCTGTTATGCTATCAGCACCCAAACTTATTCCCGCAAGGTTGATCTCAGAATCGCCAATGCTCTTTCCAGCTTTGGTGCTACTGCCCAGAGAATCTCAAGTGACATTCGTCATCTTGCCAACTTGAAGGAGTTGGAAGAGCCATTTGAGAAGGATCAAATTGGTTCATCTGCCATGGCTTACAAGCGCAACCCAATGAGATCCGAGCGTATTGCAGCTCTTGGTCGTCATCTTGCCAACCTCAACAAGAACGCCAACGATACCTACGCGGCTCAATGGTTTGAGAGAACCCTCGATGACTCTGCCATCCGCCGTATCACCATCCCCGAGATGTTCCTCTCAGCTGACGCTGTCTGCATGGCTATGGACAACGTTGTCTCTGGTTTCGTTGTTTACCCAAACCGTATTCATTCTCGTGTCATGGAGGAATTGCCTTTCATGGCTACAGAAGTCATCATCATGAGAATCGTTGCCAATGGAGGATCAAGACAAGAAGCTCATGAAGAGATCCGTGTCCTTTCTCACCAAGCTTCTGACGTTGTCAAGAAGCAAGGTGGCAAGAACGACTTGATCGACCGTATCAAGGCCACCAAGTACTTTGAACCAGTCTGGGCTGATCTTGACAACATGATGGACCCAAAGAACTTTATTGGCCGTAGTGCACACTCGGTTGAGAAGTACTGTGGACCTGGTGGAGAGGTTGAAGCTGCTCTTGCAGAATGGTCAAGCCACATCAAGTCTAGCAAGGCAGTTGAGTTGAGTCTTTAAATTAAAATTTGATGACTTGACAATTTCTCCCGTTGGATGATTTTGAAATGGTTGCATATGGTTGGGGGAGCATTGGTTGGAGTTCATGGAGTTGGGAAATTTTCAAAAGTAACTTTACGACTCATACCCATTCTACCTAGAAGTTATTGCTTTACGCGATACGAATAATCTTGATAGAAACATCGGTTAGTATTTTAGTCTTCTGGAGGTGCAATATTGCAACTTTAACAAGTATGTATGTAGCCTTGGCAGCGACTTAATACAAACCTGTATTACATATTCTTTCTGTCCCTTGAATTTGCTGATTGAAATGAGTGAACCTAATGAGAACTAATGGAATCCATTAATTTGCTTGTTGATGTAGTAAGTGACATGCAGATGGATTTTATCTAGAGGCATATGGTCTAATGTTTACTGATATTCCTGCTCAAACATATCCCACAGATCAACAAACGGATACTCAAGTCCATTCATCAAGCCCTCTGTATCCGCGAGAAAGGGTACGTTTATTGGATCTTCTGTACTGTCGCCTACCATGGCCATACCAGGTTGTTCAGTCCTACTTTCTTGAAAATTCGTTGTCGTTGAATGCGATGAGACGTTCAATCTTTCAATAGGTTCTGCGCATTGCGCGAGACATATTTCGGCGAGATCCCAATGATGAGAAGTGTGTGCCCAATCTAACCATTGCTTTACTTCAGATAGACTAGATTTGCAAGACTAGACAGTTTCGATATCAGTGGTATCGATGGCGCAGCGAAGGAGGATGATGGTTGCGGAACAGATGTGGTATGCGCTATCTTATGCAGGGTTTAGTTATTCATACCATAATGAGATGGAAGGTGGGACATACATGGCATCCAGAATTCGTTGAGATTCTGTTCTGTTAGAGAAGAGAGGAAGGTTGTTATTGCTCTTGCGCACTCGCGTAGCATTGCTTGGTGGTATGCTTTGACTTCTTTGAGACATGGCTCGGGAGAATGTGTTGCACTCTTTGTGGTGATTAGTGCTCAGCTTTATGTAAGTGTGTATAGCGAACTTACATGAAAGGCTATACGGCAAAGCAGCATTTTGACCGAGAGAAATCCGAGCCTTAGACTGCTTAGACCTGAGACTTGTTCGGCGTTGGATTTACTTGTCGCCCATTGTGGAAGAGATTCTTCCCACTCGTCAAGATTGGTTTCGAGCTGGCGCAAGAGTTTGTTGGTTTCGGTAATTGGTCGGCATCTGCGATCATACAGGAGCGGAAGGATGTCGCCAAGAACTTCGGTTAGCACACAGAGTAAGATAAAGCATTCTGCTGGGCGGATGCGTGAAGTTTTGTGATTGCCTTCTGTGAGAAGTCCCTCGAGTGTAGGGAGCGGGACATCATATTCATTTCCTCGAATATGCGCAGGTACACCATGGGCGAAGCTCGACCTAGAAGATTGTTTTGGTAAGAGGTTTCAATCACTTGTATTAGGAAATATGATGCTCACCAACGATCGTGGATTAAAACACCCCACCAAAGACGAGTTCGTAGATTCTTTTCATGATCAGATATTCTCCATCTGCTAGAATCACGATTCAACCCTAGGCTATGCGCCAGAGCAACAGTTCTTCCACTAGTAAGCGTATTGCCTGTAATCGAGACAACAGGCCGCCCGGACAAATCAAGGAGCGCTGCATAAAGGGTCGATAGGCCTGGTGCGAGAAAATCTCCTTGAAGTGATTCTACGGCCAGATTCCAGCAGTATCGCTGGTCTGGAACCGGAAATCGTTTGAGGTCTGGGGAATGCCTCCAGTATACCAAAGATGACGCTAATATATCACAAATAAGTGCGGGTGATAAGCTTTTATCGCCCTTGAAGTACAATTGATTGAAATTATGCTCGTCAATGATAGGAAAGCTAGGGTGAATATGGCGAAAGTAACTAAGAATTATTCAGCATACGCAATGAAAGATTGGCACAAGCCATACAGATTAACAGCTTCTCTGACATTTGGCCCTAGGATTTGTTCCAAGATTTCCTTTTGCTTTTCACCTGCTCGCTCACTTGAAGAGAGCCCTTCTCTTCGTCGAGAAACGCTGAGATAAATCACGGGGTCTTTGGGATTGTCCGATACAGTGTCATATAAGCGTCCCCTTTTAAATCTCTCAGGGTGAGGTTGAGATTCCATATATCGCTCCAGTAACTGGACGTCCTCTGCAATGATGGGACCGATAATCATAGAAGACTTGTCGTTGACACTTGGTCTTTCCTGTCGACTATAGTCGGGACTTTGAAGACCAGATTGCTCCGCGGTACCATCTTCTGGGAAACTGATTTCATGTCTCAGAGAAGTAGAAGGGCTTGGATCAAGTATTCTGGGACGTTTCAATGAACGCACTGAAGGTACTTCTATGTTATCTGTGTTTGGAGTGGCAAGTTTCCTCGTTCTGGAGGCTTCTGACCTAACACAATCTGCACCTTGTTCCCGACAAACACGACATGGACCATTTGATAAGTTGGCTTCACATCTTAACTTACGCTTTCGACATCGATCGCAGGCTGGAATTTTGTGAGACCGATATGGTCGGGATTCATTTAACGTGGAGGGAGAATCCATTGGTTTAATGAATCTTATTGCTGTAAACCACTCGTATAAACACAGTCAAGCACCCAATACTATCAATGCTATCAATGTTATCAGTTGTCCGAAGTATTTTGTGTTTAACAAGATATCAAAACTGGTAGGATGGCTCAGTTTTCCGAAGTGACATTCGGGAATCGGTACAATCTCGGATGTATACTGACTTGGACCGTGCACTTCATTTACATTGACAGGCATTTTTATACCGTTCGAGAGTGTTTGCGCATTCAACATGTTTCAAAAGAGTTGGAGTAATTATTCTTGCTTGGATTAAGTAACAAGTTGTGCGGTTTAAATAGGTCCCTTCGGTTTCTTGTATCTAATCAATCGACATTGTACCAGGAGTAGTCCTTAAAGCCTCCTCAAATATTCGAAGTCCAGCCATCAACTCTTCATCAGTAATAGTGATGGGAGGAGCTATACGAAACACCCCACCAAACGACTTCATCGTCGATAAATTTGCAGATAAACCAAGTTCATTCAGTTTTCCCGTCAATGCTACTCCCAGTTCCGGTGCTGGCTCTTTAGTAGCTCGATCCTTTACAATTTCCACACCTGCCATTAAACCTCTACCGCGAACGTCTCCAATACAACCATACTTAGCCTGCAATCTTTTCAACTCAACGTTCAACGTTAAGCCTGCTATGCGAGAGCGTTCGACAAGATTATCTCGGACTACAATATCCAGGACCTTGGCACCCACAGCAGCAGGTAACGGGTCATTTACATGAGTTGTGTAGAAAAGGTAACCGCGATCGAAGCAAGTTTCTTCAATTTCCGCCGAGGTGACAACAGCTGCAAGTGGAAGTCCATTGCCCAATGTCTTGCTGAGAGTCAAGATATCGGGAGTGCATTCATCGTGCTCAATTGCAAACATAGAACCACATCTACCAATTGCTGTCTGTGCCTCATCGACGATGAGAAGCATGCCACGGTTTTCGCAGTGTTTCTTCATCGCTTTCATATATCCTTTTGGTAGGACATGCATACCGCCGGAACTGAGGATAGGCTCGAGAATAACTGCCGCTAATGACCCTGTCGATTGCTGATCAATTAGATTCCATCCATAATTCAACTCTGTTTCCCAGTCATATGAGCCATCTGCATGGCGGAAGATCGAACGATATGCGTTTGGAGATGGTAGAACAAGGTTTCCTGGCATCTTTTGGCAGTCAGTATTGCTATTTTTTACAATTTCACATGGAAATGAACCTACACAAGGACCATAACCCGTTCTCCCGGAGTGATAGGTCGATGCAGTCGCACTTCCCGTCATTCCATGCCAACTCGCTCCCAAACCAACTATCTCATACTTCCCAGTATATAACTTAGCCATCTTAATCGCAGCTTCATTAGACTCAGCTCCAGTATTGAGGAACATAGCACGATCAAGTCCGGGTGGTGTCAAAGACGTCAACTTTTGTGCGAGTTCTATCACAGGTGGGCTTAGCATGCCACTGAATAAATGATCCAGTTTTGCAGCATGTGCAGTGATTGTCTCAACAATTTCAGGATGTCCATGTCCAATGAGACAACTCATTTGTCCGGAAGTAAAATCTAGTATCTTTCTACCATCGGCAGTGTAGATGTAAACTCCTTCTGCTCCTACAATGATTTCAGATGAGAAATTTCCTCCGTATCTTATGAGAGATGAGTTTGCGTTTTCTCTCATGGCTTTACCATCAATGTTTTGGTAAAGAGGTACACTTTTCGAGGTGAATGCTAGCATAGCAGAGGCCTGAGATTGCGACATTTTTATAGTAGTAATTCGTAAGTGGTGAGTATAGAAGATGGAGTCTGCGTGTTCAATTTGGATAAATCGTGAGAACAACTGGAATTGTGTACCTTTCACACGGGAAACGTTGTCTCTTATATAGTATAGTAATCATCATGCATTTTCCCCAGCTCATCTCGACTTATCTATCAGAATGATTGAACATGACACATTCGTATCGCCAGGAGCTTACAATACCAGCGATAAAAGCTGCAAATAAGTCCCACAGTGGTCTGATTCCATTAACAATTTGTTTCCTTCGCGGTCTTCACAGGCTGGATGCTCGATATCTCGGAAAACTTGATGCGGGGCACGGAAAACTAAGCTCCGTATTTTGATAAGTTTTCCGTGTGAGTGTTCGGGAGACTTGGTGGATCCCGTCTACCCCATATGTTACACTGCATTGGTAGACGGATGTTATCTACAATTTTGGATAATGGGGGTTGTCTTCTCTTTCGATTAAGTTTATTAATGATGAAGTCTGGATCGATTGATGCCGGTCGGCTCATGTTTGTCGCTTTTTGTATTCTGTTGATGATGAGTACAGGCCGAGATATCAAAACCTGAATATTTTAACTGAGATTTCGATGTAATACGGTCAATACCTTCGACATCGTTTGATGTTCTGGGAGAACCCCGATTAAATCCTTGAAATTCAAATTAAATGCTCCCAAGATTTAGTATTCATGCATCTAACTCATGTGGGCGTCGGGACAACACCATACTTCGATTATATATCTACAGAGTGATATCAATTAAGTCCATGAATTGAAATTAATATGAATATTGGCTTGGAAAGAAGAATCTGTAAAGTATTCACATTCAGTCGAAAGCTTCTAAACGACAACTATTATCTCAAGTTCATTCAGAAATTAAATTTTCTTGGTTGTTTGTTCAGTCTCTACAATTATACACATCGGCATTTGAGTGAAATATCAAGTACTCGCCATTTCCTCTCCCCATTTCAAATGATCAGTTGATCATCGTACCCATATCTTATCTTTCACTCATACCCCATCATCCTCTAATGAAAATACTTGTAAACTCCGGAGATGTGTTTCCAGCACTTCTCCAACGCCTCTACTACCTCATCCGGCAATTCTCCCTTCTCCAAATCCTTCAAATTTTGCTCCAACTGCTCGGCACTACTAGCTCCTACAATCACCGCATCATTCAATTCTTTCTTCATAGAAGAATGGTGCGCCATCCACCTCAATCCGCATTCCGCCTCGGTAAGTCCATGTTTCTTAATCACTGGTCGAAGAATGTCTTCCAATGCGTAGAGATTTCGATCATTTATGTAACGACCGTGATGTAATTTTCCTTGTGGTTTGTTAGGATCGAAGCGGGAACCGGCTTCGTATTCGGTTTGGTTACGATGGTATTTAGAGGTGAGGAAACCACCGGCTAGTGGCTGGAATGCGTAGAGAGACATGTTGTAAAAGCGGAGACAGGGGATAAGTTCTGCTTCTACGGAACGGTTGAAGGCGTTGTAAAGCCCCTGGTAGACGGATGGCTTTACCCAGCCATTCTTCTCAGCAATGTCGCAGATTCGAGCTACTTCCCAGGAAGTGAAATTGGAAATTCCGAAACGCTCGAATCTTCCTTCTTGGTGGAGTTTGTTGACTTCACTAAGGGTATCTTCGAGGGGGGTGCTGCGGTCGGGACCGTGGAGATAGAACATCTCTATACGATCTGTGTTCAGAGCTTTCATACTGTCTTCGAAACCACGACGGACATCGGCAGCAGAGAGAGAGTATGTATCTTTTGTGAGCCATGACATTGCTCCCTTGGTGGGATAGAGCTTGGTTTGCATGATCAGACCACGTGATTGCCAATCTATTTCTGCGAGTCTTTCTTCTGTGGAACCGCCGCCATAGGCACGGGCAGAGTCGACTTCTGAATGGCCATGTGCTTGAAATACATCAAAGATTTTTTGGGCACCTTCAACGGTTGTGACACGGATTCCATCACCTAAGAAGGGAATGATTAGCTTGGGTCTAAGAAGTTCAATAGCGAATTTATATACCTGGTCTACCGATGGTCATTGAACCAAAGACAACCTTAATTGCACTTGTTGGAGTAGGCATCTTGAATTTATGTTAAAGTCTGGAATGAAATAAAGAAATATGAAATCTATTCTGTACAGTCTTGTCTGTTTTTTGATCTACTATAAAGTGAGCGAACGAAGTTGATATAGTATTTCTCAACGGACTTTACGGGCATAATAGCCATTAAAACCAAAACCATCGTTCTATTTTGAGCCAGTGGTCGACCCCTCCCCCACTTGGTAACGGGGGCAAAACTGCATCGTCAGGTACAAGCGGTCTCGCTTACTCTGATAGGAGGTAGGTTGGTAGGTATCAGCATCAATGAGCAAATACTACAGCACAAAATCTCAAGAATGAACGCATTACAAGTATTTTCATGCATGAAATCTCTAGTCAAGCCGGATGGTCAAAAAAGCGCCACATATTAAAAGCCGAATCGGTAATAAGAGCCTCATTTGATTCTAGCACGGAGAACATTGAATAATTAGGAGGTTTCACTTGATGGTAGTTTCTATATAAATGATTTTTCGGCCGAAAGACTCGTGTGTGGCTGGTGCACCCACCTCTCGGATTTATTATTAAAGGGATCTCTGCGGCAGGCCGGATTTGAGTACTTCAATCTTGTGGATTAATTGAAACCACAAGTAATCACAAATGAAATTTCAAAAAATTAGAAAGATGAAACCAAGATTTAGTTTCTATTCAACTTGTTTCTTACAACAGAATAGATTTAAATCAACTTTGGAGATAATCAAGCAGGCTGTAAAAATTGGTCGAAGGTATTGAAATCAGGTCATTCATTTCGCTTAGGTAGAGGGGATATTCATATCGTTGCTAGGTATAAAAATGAAAGATACAACTTTAGTAGATTGATATAATCTGAATCTATAGTATTAATGATTTTACATCCTTCCTATACCTATAGAATCGACTCCTTTATGGTGATCTGATACAGAAAATAGGTTCTATAGAAAGAGGTCCTGGCTTTGATTCATACAATATAAAGTTCAGCAATTCGGATTTCACTCGTCATCAACCTTCAAATCACTTGCTAATATTAACCCTGAAGAGTGAAGATGTACTTGAATAAGACGATGAACCACCTCTTCAACTCTTCAAATTAGATACCTCTATTGTTGACTCTTAGATTTATCTTTCCTCGGTAGACACTCCTCTCTCTTAAACTCTTCAATATGTACCTACAATAGTATGTACGATTCGTTGGATTTTTGTGTCAGTCTATAAGGCTTGATAGGCTCTAGCAATGAAGATTTACAATGTACATAGAATTGATAACGGGTTAGAAATGTGAATGCCGTAGTTGATAGTCCTGCAATAAATCATGATGTAGGATGAGATTGGAATCGAACTCTAAGGAGACATAGTATATGTAATTTTGCAAAGTGGTACGAAAGATGAAAATAACTTCAAATTGAAATCGAAAAGTTTATAGGAGTCAGGAAGTAAAAAAGTCTGAACAGCTTCAGTTTGAACTTGATATTACTTGTTACATATGAGAGATGGAGACGATATTAGAGATAAATATAGAAAATACTACTTTGATGGATTGATTTATAATTTAGATTCATGGTATGAATGATTTTATACACCTTCTACACCTATAGAATCGATTCCTTTATCGTTTATACATGAATATCAGATAATTGAGAGATTCTTGATAGATTTATAAGTATTTGGTATTGAATCTTAAGTCTTTAAGTAATGATGTGACTGTTAGCTTGAGAAGAGTACGTACAGGTGACGTAGCACCTACGATGATAGATTCTAATCGACAATGTGGTATTCTGTCTAAGAAGCTAGCCATGTACAGAAACAGGTAGTGTTTCGGAGCATAGCAGAAGAAACTTATACGTCGGATTTTACGAAACTTTTGTATGGCGTAATGTATTAATTATTTGTATTTTCAAAGCCCAGGAATCTATTTGTATGTAATTATGTGATATCTTTTATGAACTCAAATATATTATATAAAGAATTAAAAAATAAGGGAACAAACAATTTCGAATCATTATACGCTCCGAAACATAGGCGAGATCCCTCGCCCCCAATCTTTATATGCTTGAGGCTAGCCCTCTCGCTTAGTATACTACAGTAGCATAATGGCTTAAGACCACTCACCTTCGTTCATACAGTGACGGCACAACTTGAAGACTGTTGAGACTTTATCACGTGACCATAGGACCTGAAAATCACTACATGATTTGAATGATTGAATAATAAGTTTTCAGATAAGCATTTTTTTCCCATCGAAATCAGCCATGTATGGCCTGAATGTTCACAAGGCCTGATAGTTCCCAGGAATTTACCCCTCTCCCGAGTCATGGTTCGAGATCTCCGATTCGAAACCGGATTAGACCTTTCCAAACATTTCTTTTTTGCACGATTTTGTTCTATGTTGATAAAGCTTTTGACAGAGGAAGAAAGGAACAAGAAAGCTCTTGCTTGCTCTTCCCTTTTTTAGTTGATTGCTCTTTTTGAGGCCCTATCCGTGGGAAGAAATCACGCGGAGGTTTATTTAACTAATCATTTCTATAACATCTTTTATAATTCGATTAAACCCTTTAAATACTACATGGAATGCAACCTTTAGATTTTATTTAAACAACAAAAGGCTGAAATCTCTCATAGTAGTAATAATCTATTTGGATTTGTTTAAATCATTTGCAATTGAATTTTCTCAATTAATTCGAAAGATATCAGTTGGGATTTGAATGTGCACGGTCTCATGGGACATTTACGACGTCAACCTTTAAAGTTGGAGTATTCAGAATCTGAATTTATATTGAATCTTATCTCATTCACGCGCTGAGTTTGACTTTATCAAGCATTGAAATATCAGGTAGAACATATTTTGATGGAATCTTCAGTGAAATCTTGTTTTAAAAAGCTTTAACGAAAACATCCCATTCATAACTAACGTGATTAGTCATTTGGCAGATGTTGCCTGCGGATTCGTTTCTCTCTCTTGATTACCTATAAACTATATTCTATTGTTGATATTCCTTTCTATACATATCATATGCTCGACTTTATCAATAGATGGGTTAAATCCCATAATTTGGAGTCACAGGCCCTCTTGTAATACAGTAAGCACCTTGGGACATTCCTCCAAGGTAATAAATGACCTGTCATCCCTTTGCCCTTTGCGCGCTTTGTGCTGTTTTGAGAGTTTTTTGCGGTTTGCGCTTTTTGTGCGGATGCTCGCCACCTTGACAACAGTCATACAAACTTGCTATACAACCCCGTTGAATATCTAGTTCCTTCGAATTTGGAATAAAGTTTCTACAAATTTGACTTTTAGTAGAAGTTGCTTTCCACAAAATTTATAAGGTTAAGTAAGTATGGCTTTAAAAGAAGACACGACGTCCACGACCTGTCCGACAACAAAAAACAACATTATCAGTTCTGGCGAGAAGATGGAGAACATCTCGACTCACAATTCTGTATTAATCACAACATCTTATCTATTATCAAATCTTCATTGTCCCTCCTGTGTTTCAAACATTCAAAAGTCCCTTTACGCATTAAGTCCTCGGCCAAAAGATGTTACTCCTTCTCTCATGTCTTCATGGGTGACTGTCCAACACGATAACAGTCTATCAACTAAAGTTATTCGGAAGGCGTTGCAATCTGCTGGGTTCGAAGTGTGCGATGTTACGTCTGAGGAGCACGGTAGTCTTGCAAGATCGCATATACAACATGACACCGATACAGGTTACCTAGACCAAGTGCTTCAAAAGTGGTCAGCTACCAGAAGACCCCGAAGACAATTTTCATCGTCATACTTTGATTCGAACTATGACCGGCACTTGGAGAATTGTGAAATTTGTCGCCAGGACGCTACCACGGGAGCGAATCAACAAAATGTTTCAAAGGATTTGGGACAATCAGGTATACTTTCAGAGCCGCCATATAACAATACAAGTGATGGTAGGAACGATGGTACTACAGAAAGTTCCGGCAAGAGAATGGAACCTTTGGTAGTCGTTGATACCATCGATTCAATTCCTCAGACATTTCGAGCATCGTTGGCTATTGGCGGTATGACATGTGCCGCTTGCGCCAACAATATCGTGCTAGGACTAAAGAAGAAGTCCTGGGTGAGGGATGTCGTTGTCAATCTCATCTCGAATAGCGCCACAGTTGACTTCGCCGACGAGAAATATACATGCCAAATAGTTGAAGAGATAGAGGATCTTGGCTACGATGCAGCCTTGGACAGTGTTATCGATTTGAAACCGGAGCCTCAAATAAAAAAAGTGACGAGAACGGTTGAGATTATGGTAAATGGCATGTATTGTGGCCACTGCCCTCCTCGAATTAACAACAGTCTGATCAGTTTTGGCGATCGCATTACCATAGAGAGAGCCTTGAGTTTAGAGAACCCAATACTCAAAATAACCTACACCCCATCGGCACCTACTTTCACAATTAGGCAGATTCTTTCCAAAATCTCCAACGTCGAAGAAGGATTCGTACCAACAATATATCATCCGCCAACTATCGAAGAGCGATCTCAAATAATCCACAAAAGGGAGCAACAAAGAATATTACTTCGAGTTATCGTCACTCTCATCATTGCCATACCTACCCTCCTTATCGGTATCATCTTCATGAGTTTGGTGCCGCCATCCAATAAAACCAGGCAGTATTTTATGCAACCACTTAGAGCCGGCGTTGATCGTGCGCAATGGTCTCTTCTCGTCATGGCTACGCCGGTATATTTCCTTTGTGCCGATGTCTTCCATAGAAGAGCTCTGAAGGAAATACGCTCGTTATGGAGACCTGGCAGCACGACACCAATTCTTCAAAGATTCTATCGTTTCGGAAGCATGAATATGCTCATGTCACTAGGTACTACGATTGCCTACGTATCATCTGTGGCTCAATTAATCGCCGCTGCAATCCATCCGACTGCTATGGTGGATGACAGCTCCTTCTATTTCGATTCAGTTGTCTTCTTGACTTTATTTTTACTCGTTGGCCGTCTTATTGAAGCTTATAGCAAGTCAAGAACTGATGACGCTGTGACTATGTTGGGGAAGCTGCGACCTACAGAAGCCCTTTTGATTGTCCCTACTTCATCATACGAACAGGACGGGGATTTCATTGTTCCATACTCTGACGAACATTCAGGAACCTCCTCAGGTGAACAAAGCTCTATCAGAAGCGTCAACGTTGATTTGCTCGAGTTTGGTGATACTATCAAGGTCTTACATGGTGGCTCTCCAGCATGTGACGGCACAGTTATCAAGGGCGAGACTAAATTCGACGAATCGAGTTTGACCGGAGAGGCAAAGTTGGTCAAGAAAAGTGCGGGAGATGAAGTGTTTTCTGGAACAGTCAATAAGGAATCCCCAGTAACAGTCAAGATTACTGGAGTCGCCGGATCTTCAATGCTCGATCAAATTGTCATGGCAGTTCGTGAAGGACAAACTAAAAGAGCACCCATGGAACGAATTGCTGATACTCTAACCGGTTACTTTGTACCTGTCATTACCCTCATTGCCATTCTCACTTTCATTGTATGGCTATCTCTCGGACTTTCAGGAGTCTTACCAGACGATTATCGTGGTTCTAGTGGTTGGGCTGTTTGGTCTCTTCAATTCGCTATAGCTGTTTTTGTTGTTGCATGCCCTTGTGGTCTAGCATTAGCCGCTCCCACTGCACTTTTCGTTGGTGGTGGTCTTGCAGCACATCATGGCATTCTAGTAAAGGGTGGTGGCGAGGCATTTGAGAAAGCTAGTATGCTCGATTGCGTGGTATTTGATAAAACAGGTACCTTGACTCTAGGAGGCGAGCCAACTGTCACAAACTTTGAATTTGTCTCAGACAACGAAAACAATCTGGTTGTCTCAAGCGGCCAGAGTAGCTCAAACATTCAGATTGTTCAAGGGGATGAGAATGTCCCAAACAACGACATTATCTCAGGAAATCTGATTGTCCCAACGAACGACAAAGAACAAGATCTTTTAAATTTGATCAAGGCAGCCGAAGAAAATAGTAGCCACACCGTGGCTAAAGCCATTGTCTCATTCTGCGCCAACAATTCAAAACCTTCTCTCAAAGCATTCACAGACATCGAAGAAATGCCGGGATATGGAATGAGAGCTAGTTTTCGTAGCGGGAAAATGCTAATTGGGAACGAATCGCTGATGACGCGATATAACGTCAAAATAGCCCCTATTCAACAATCTCGCTTCGATATATGGAAACAGCAAGGCAAATCAGTGGCGCTAGTCGCTTGTTCTACTATTGATGGGCCATACAAACTTACAGCCGTGTTTGCAATCTCTGATCCTATTCGTCCAGAAGCTATTTCTATCATTTCAGCCCTGAAAGCGCGTGGTACGGCTGTCTGGATGCTTTCAGGTGATAATCAAACTACGGCAAATGCTATTGGTCAACAAGTTGGAATTGCTCCTGAGAACATTATAGCTGGAGTTCTACCCTCAGAAAAAGCAAACCAGATCTCCTATCTTCAAAAGTCTCTCCCTTCCAAACGGTCTAAGAGCAATTCATCTCCCAAAAGAGCCCTCGTAGCAATGGTCGGCGACGGCATCAACGATTCTCCTGCTCTAACCACTGCCGATGTAGGAATAGCTATAGGCTCCGGTTCCGATATTGCTATTTCCTCAGCCGAATTCGTACTAGTTTCTAGCAATCTCCATTCCCTAATTACGTTATTGGATTTGAGTAAAATGGTATTTCAAAGGATCAAATTTAACTTTGGTTGGGCTCTGATTTATAATTTGGTAGCGCTACCGGTGGCAGCAGGAATATTCTATCCAATTGTTACGGGGGGAGGAAAGCACGTTAGGTTGGATCCAGTCTGGGCAAGTTTGGCAATGGCAATGAGTAGTATTAGTGTGGTTTTGAGCAGTTTGGCGCTGAGGAGTAGAGTACCGGGATTGGGGTTCAAGGCTAGGAAGATGGAGGGGTGATTTTATAAGTTTGTGGCCCTCAGTTGTGAGTAGAACAATGGGAAGCGTAGATATTTCATGACATACTACATGCACCCTTTTGTAGTGAATACACATCAGGTGATAAAAATCTATTGTGAAGGTCTATGTAAGATCTGGAAAGCTTCATTCTAATTTACGATATAAACAGAAATTAGCCACACTAACCATAACAAGTCAAACATCCCTCGTGGCGCAATTGGCTAGCGCGTTCGACTGTTACTTGAAGCAATTCAAATAAATAAATCGAGAGGTTCGTGGTTCGACCCCACGCGAGGGAGTTCAATCTTTTACTTATATTTTTGCCCTGTTGTGGTGTTTTCAATCATCATCTGTTTGCTTCGAGGAGCAGGTTTTGGGAGGGGAAACTTTGAGCAACGACAGAAGTGTTGGCCCGTGCACCGGCATTGGAACAAGCCAGCTCGATGTCTTCTTCGCATCTTCATTTCCCTTGCTTCCCTTTTGCCCTTCTGTGAAAAGAGATGTGGATGTAGTGGGGTAATGCCAAAGCCTTGTGGAGTTATGTCTTCTTCAAAGTGGATCTGATTGGATAAGAAAAAGCTCCAAGGTGGGTGCTTTATAAAACTTTTTTTGACATGCATGAAAATTTCGTTTTAGTTGGAGCTCCATGGGCTTCTTCTCCCATATCAAATTTTGAGTAAGAAGGGAATGTTTTGAATTTCTTTCTTCCTGAACATAATGCCAAGTAAGCCAAGCGTCAGTAAAGAAGCTGCTTGAGAATGTCCAAAAAATTCAAAAGGTATATTGATGAGAGTGGGATTCGAACCCACGCCTATTACTAGACCAGGAGATTGTAAACAACCGTTTGTTAAGAGTTAATCACCTTAACCTGGCGCCTTAGACCAACTCGGCCATCTCACCTACTTGTTGAAGATTCTGCTTGTGGTTTCTATATATGAAGCTGTTTTCAAGCGGGGCAAAAGGATTAGAGGAAGCACTTTCTTCTCCACTTCATACTCGATGAGTGACCCGCTATACATCTGATCTCAAAATAGGTAAATTCTTCCTTGCTCTTGACTCATAGAGCGCAAGGTGTGTGTCTTCACAGCAAGAAAGGCAATATAGTGGTAGGGATTTGGTAGTGATTTCTCAATTCATTTGTTCATACAGGAAGACCTTGTCCCCTGGAACGTCCTTCCCTTTAGATTGACAAAGCCCATCTGCTATTCAAAATCAATGTACCCCCACCGTAACGCCTCGCTATTCCTCCCTATACCTTTGCGATATTATGATTCCTATTCTGCCTTTCCCGTTGTAGTTTTTCCATATGCTCCACCTGCCGCTTTCCTCATTTCAAGAGCTCTCTTGTATGGAGGTGCTGTTGGAGGCTGTACAGGATCAAGTGTAATACGATCCTTTGGTAAATGATATGAAGCATCAGCATCATAACCAGATAAATCTCCACATGCCAGAAATGGAGCTATCCATCTTCCTGATTTTCTGGCTTTAGCTTCATCATTAGGAAGTTTAACTTCCCATACTCCATCTTCTCTTCGTGTGGTTGTCTTGACTTGATTTTCTGATGGTTTGTCGTCATCGATATTTTGTGAATCAACAGGTGAAACTGTTGGCTCTTGACTGACAGCTGTATCGACCATTTTGGCCAATCTATCTCCAACACCCATAGGATCTTCCATGCTAGCTTTGAACCCTTCTGGGGGTTGGAAATTCAAGCAGACAATGAAAGCTTCTACACTGCTTGCACGACTTGACCTTGGTTTTGCAACGACCACCCTTTCGAAGAAGATTTTCAATTGTGCAAATAGAAGATCAACATTTCTTCCTCTGAAGATCTTTGCAACAAACTTTCCACCTGGGCGAAGGACACAAAGTGCAAGATTTAAAGCAGCAAAAAGTAGTTGCGATTGAACGTAAATGTCCAGATCATGAAGGCCTGTAACATCAGGAGCACCATCACTAATAACGAGATCCACGGGATTGGAAGCTTGCTGAGACAAGGATTTCGGATCATAAGAAGAATCGAGAGCACTTAGAAGTAATGGAACGGTTGCAGGATGTGTAATATCTGCTCGAAGTGTTATGATTCCTTGTAAAGGGCTCATGGGTTGTAAATCAATAGCCACAATTTTTACATCTTTCTTAGGTTTCAATTCGGTCTCGTTTGGTGATGGCTGCCTCTCTTCTGTTGAAGAGGGGAGGTTGATTTCAAGTATGTTTTGTCGCATTCTAGCCTCCTTGTCTTCCCATGCTGCCCGACCGAATTTCTCTCCTTTGATCAAGACTCGGGATAGGACTTGAGACCAACTTCCAGGGGCAGCGCAAAGGTCTACGACACGAGTAACATCGGAGAAGAGGTCGAATTCTAATATTAAGTTAGTCAAGGTACTTTGCGCAATGCAACACTGCACAGAGTAATTATGTAGTGGGGTTAATGCCTTCATCGAGTTGTAATAATTTGAAAGCACTTCGAGCTCTCCATCCTTGTTCTTTTGCGAGCCTGTAATACGCATCGCGCTTATCCTTTGAGGATTTTCCCATCTTGGAAACGGAACGATTAATGAATGAACAAAGTTGTGGAGAAGAACTGAAGTTATCGATGAATGAATGATTTTTACGACAAGGCTGAACTACTAATCTAGCGCGGGGCTGAAAGGCTAGATCGACAAGGGTCTTTAGGAAAAAAAGTTATTGATATGCTTTTCTGAGAGAAACAAGTTGATTTGATACAACGAGAAAATTCAAGAATATCGACCTCGAGAATTTTCCATACAACATGGATACTAAACAGAAGAAGCGCTCTCATTCAGAGACCAATGGCTCACAGAAAGCCCCAAAACGTCAAAAGATCCAGAAACAATCCAAGAAACAAAAGAAAGATGCGCCAAAGAAACAAGTTGCGGTAGATTCTTTGCCATGGAATGAAGTAACAATGCCAGATATGTTTGAAGATGCCGAGGGTTTCTATGGATTAGAAGAGGTGGATGATGTTGAGATAGTACGGGATGGAGATGTTGTCAAATTTGTATGTATTTCCTAGGAGGAGGTATGGAGGGATGCTCATTTCTCTTAGGTATCTTCCAAAATACAGCCTAAAAAGGACGACGACGAGGAATTCGAAGGCTTTGGAGACGACAACGAGGATGATAAAACTATAGATACGGATAAAACCAGCGAAGTGAAGCCAATTCTGAAACCGACCGAAGAGAGCATGGGAAATGAAAATCCAGAAGGACAGAAAGAGAATTCAGAAAAAAAGCCAAAGCCCGAGAAGAAACAGAAGAAGGACAAGCCAGATACGAAGGACCAGGAGGAGAAATTACCAAGTAAGAAGGATAAGAAGCAGAAAAAAGAGAAAGCGCAACAACAGCCAATCGACAAAGATGCCGGTCTCAAACAAGATACTCTGAAGAATGTTTTCGAAGCACTCGAAGAAGATGCTGCAAAAGAAGTGGATGTTTCAAGCTGGGAAGAGCTAGATCTTTCATCAAATACTTTATCCGCATTATCTAAAATGGGCTTCTCGAAGCCAACTCCAATTCAATCAGAGGCTATACCAGAAGTACTAGCTGGACATGATGTTGTCGGAAAGGCATCTACTGGTTCTGGAAAAACATTGGCTTTTGGAATACCAATAGTGGAAAAGTGGCTTGAGACCTATGGAGAACTCGATGAGGACGAGCTCAAGAAGAACACAAGACCGCCAACCGCATTGATTCTTTCGCCAACAAGAGAATTGGCACATCAATTGACTGAACATATTACAGCTTTATGTAAGGGTATGCCCACAAGTCCATGGGTAGCTGCTGTCACTGGAGGTCTTTCCGTTCAAAAACAACAACGTCAATTAGCCAAGGCCGATATCATAATCGGTACACCTGGTCGTCTCTGGGAAGTTATAAGCTCTAGCAATGAATTATCAGCCAGCTTGAAACAGGTTAGATTTTTGGTTATTGATGAAGCAGATAGACTTTTGACCGATGGTCACTTCAAAGAAGCAGAGGAGATTTTAAATGCTTTGGATCGTACACACGGTGATGAAGACGACGAAGAGGAAGAAACATTGCCACCCAGACAGACTTTGGTTTTCTCAGCCACTTTTCATAAGGGTTTACAACAAAAGCTTGCAGGAAAGGGCAAGCAATCTTTCAAGGATGAAAGTCAATCTATGGAGTATCTTTTGAAGAAGCTCAATTTCAGAGAAGATAAGCCCAAATTTGTTGACGTTAACCCAATCTCGCAAATGGCAGCCAATCTGAAAGAGGGTATGGTAGAATGTGGCGGAGAAGAAAAGGTAACATTTCATAACCCACAATTCACATGCACACTACTAACAACCCACAGGATCTCTACCTCTATTCTCTCCTCCTACACCACCCCAACCAGCGAACCCTCATCTTCACCAACTCCATCCACTCAGTTCGCCGCCTAACCCCCATGCTCCAAACCCTCAATATCCCCGCTCACTCCCTGCACTCCCAAATGATCCAAAAAGCCCGCATGCGCTCCATCGAAAAGTTCTCCCGCACAAACAACACCGGTTCCGTCCTCGTCGCCACCGACGTCGCAGCACGTGGTCTCGACATTGGCGGCGTCCAACTAGTCATCCATTACCATCTCCCCCGCACCGCAGACATGTACGTACACCGATCCGGTCGTACCGCCCGTGCCGCCGCCTCCGGATCCAGCATCCTCCTCTGCGGCCCCGAAGAAGTCGTCGGTACCCGCAGATTGGTCGCGAAAGTCCATGCCCGCAATGCGCTCAATGGAGAAGGAAAGAAATCGAAGTTCTACATTCGTAGTTTGGATATCGATCGCAGAGTCGTCGCGAGACTTAAACCGCGCGTGACGCTCGCGAAGAAAATCGCAGATAGTGCATTAGCGAAGGAAAAGAAAGGTCACGATGATGATTGGGTTAAGAACGCAGCGGAAGAATTAGGCGTCGAGTATGACGAGGAGGAATTTGAAGCGTTGGGCGGAGGGAGAAAGGGCAGGGGAACGGGAAGGCGATTGAAGGAGAAGGAAGCGAGAGGGATGAGTAAAGCGGAAGTGGGAGCGCTGAGAGCGGAATTGAGAGCGCTGTTGGCGCAGAGAGTTAATGTGGGGGTCAGCGAGAGGTATCTGACGAGTGGCACGGTTAATGTTAATGAGTTGTTGAAGGGGGCGAAGGGTGAGTGGTTGGGAGAGGTGGAGGGCATTGGTATGGAGGATGAGTGATAGATGCGGTTTGGGAGGTGTGGTGGTGTCTACTGTAGTATAGTGCTGTGAAGGAACCTCTTTTTAATAAGGATTGTTAGCAATGAAGAAATATAAATACTACCACACTACATACAGAGCATAATCTAAACTCCTCAGTCCCCACCAACTCACTCACTCACACACTCAGTCCATGTACACAATGATTATTTGAATTATGTATTCCTACAAGCCGACTACCGACTCTGACTAACCAGCTAACTCCTCTCTCATTCACTCCATACACAATGCTACCCCTCATCCACATTATCCATTCACAATCCACTAAACCTCACCCTCACCCACCCCAAATCAACACTCCACACCCCCATTCACACAAAACAGTCAAAAAGAACTGCCTATGCATCATCATCAAAGAAGACCACTAATTACGGCACGTAGGTATAACCACGATATCGATAACCCACACATCTAAAGCCCCTTCCCACTTCTCCCCCATCCAAGTGCGAATTTCTCGCATCTGAATTTATGCACACTACCACTACCCAGCCCCTTCATCACCACCACAATAATCCATTCAACAAAACTGAAAAACAAAAAACAAGAAGAAGAAAAATGCACATAGAAGCAAAGCAATACACCGCCGCACCCCCTACTCCACAATCACCACAAGCGAACCTCCACCCCTTCCATCCATTTCCTTTCCATGAATTCCATTGCATTCCCAACCCCATCCCTCCACCCACAAACCAGAACACAAGCACAAACCCATAAAACCAAAGACTCAATCTCAATCTTAAACCCAAGCCCAAACACCTACCAATATGCAGGGTATGATATGCAGCATTTTCCCATGTCCTGAATCATTACAAAAAAAAAAGCTGGGAATTGCCTATACTCCTAACGAATGCAAACGAGTAAACAAGCGAGTGAAAGCTTGAATCAAAAATCCCGAGCCCTTTATTTCCTTTCCTCATCCCATCCATTCTCCTGATAGAAAGAAAGAACGAACGAAAAAAATTCGATCGGGTATACGACAATGGATGTAATTTAGTTATTGTGATTCCAACAACTACTAGGTATAATCTCTCGGCAACAGACAGATATATTAGTATAATGAGGAAGAACATTGCAAAATTAATAACTCAAATTTGCCTCATCCTCATCATACTCATCCTCCAAATCAATCTGTCTTTGCTCATCATTCCAATCCCTCGTCTTGATACCCATCTTCGCCCTAACATCTCTCTGAATAGCCAAGAAATACTTCCTCAAACTTTTCAATCCCCTAAGGAATCCCAGATCCGGTTGATCAGGATGACGAGGTGGACAATTTCTTCCCGGTGCTAAACAATCTTCTCTGATTGCACAGTTTGCGAAATCTGCCATTTTGAGATCGATTTCTCTTCGTCTGCTTAGAGGCTCAAATGTATTACTATCAGACTCTTCCTCTTCATCCGTTTCTCCATCATAGAACAGGAGTAAACTGGCAGCATAGAAACGGTATCCTGGTAGACTTCTGATCAAAACCTCAAGTGTGGAAAGCTTGTGGATGAGAGTCGGAATATGTCGTAAGATACTTCCATCGTCGACACCATCATACAAGAATCGAGTGAGAGCCTTCTGAAAGTCCGGTCCGGCTTTGAGATCTCTTCCGAAATACTTATCATGGAAAACGTACCCCTGAGTCTTCACATCCCAAACTTGCAGACCACAAACCCTTACACCTAGATCGTGAGATGTTGTCGCCTCACACTTGGTGCGTTGGGATTGCTGTTTCTTCTCCACTGCATCGATACCATATTGACGAGTTCCCATTTTGAGATCCATAATACAAGGTTTTTTCATGCCAGCCGTCAAATCTTCCAAAAGTAAGAAATATTGAATCCGTTGACCTTGCGTCTGGGCTTCCTTGGGATTGACAGGCCGAGGGGGAATTATAAGAGCGCTCGGTGTTATCTTTGGGGTGACTGCTCGTTTAATCATGGTATTAGAATCAGCTGGCGTCAATTTAGGAATGTCATTGACATTTCCAAGCTTAGGTGTCGGCTCTTCCTTCACAGGCGGTTTCATCTTTTGTTCGTCTGTCGGTTCGGGATCCATAGCAAAAACGTCCTCTTCATCGCCCTTGTAGCCAGCATCATCTGCTTCCTCAAAATATTTGAGATTTCCTCGATCATCAGCTACTTCCGTAGGCCTACGGCGAAGCCCACCACTGGAGAAACGTCTCTTTGGTCGTTTAGGAGAATCTTGAGGTCCAGCAATCTCAGGCTCAGGAGCACTAGTGCCAGCCATATGATCGAATTCATCATCTTCTTCTCCATTTTCGACATGGCCGTGTCCGTTCACTTTGGAATCATTGGTCGACACAGGCGGGGCAGGCGTAACAGGTGTCATTGGTGAGAGTCCAGTCTTTTGTTCAGCCGCAGATTTGATAGCTCTTGTGCGCATTGAGTCTTTGGGTTGTTGGCCATCGACCATCTTATTTGATTGAACTTTCAAGCTGGATTCCGAATTGGCATTTCGTAGCGAGGCACCGTTTCGCATTGCTCGGTTTTGCGTTCCTAGCTTCTTATGTCGATGAATGGGGATTGGTTGCTGTAAAAATGCTTCTCCAAAAACTTTGTTTCGGAGTTCCTTGTTGATGGTGGTTGCGCCCCAGCTGACTGCATGCTTGTCTGATAATTTGGGACGAAACGTGAAATCACCGCTGGGTGGTGGTTGACTTTGACTTTGACCTTTTTGCTGGTGAGACTCCTTGGTACTAGGGGCCTCGACGGGGTCAATTAGATGAGGATGGGGCTGTAGAAAGCTTTTTGGTATGATGTGTCTATTGTCGGCAAAATTGACAGTTGCTATAGGAATAGAAGATGTTTTTAGTGACTGGCTGATCATTCTTGTTGGCTCTGGGGTCTTGATAGAGTTTGCCTGCCCATTCGTGCCGGTCGATGTAGCAGCATCATCTTTTATTAGGTGTCCATCAGTACCATTGGATTCGGCGGTGGTATCTTTGTCATCCTTGGGTGGCACTTTTGGTCGCACATGCTTTTTCTCCAAAGTCACATTCAAAACACCAATATATCTAAAGATCAATCAAAATAAGCACATTAGTTCAGGTTGAAACTGGTGCCTGAGGAAGGGCTTGGTGTGTTGTCTTGATGAAGACTCAGTTTCGATGCCAGAAGCGGGGATGAGTCAATAAAATACACACGTACCTTGGAAGAAATTTCATAAGCTGCGGATGTTTCTGCTCGCATATCTCGTAAAACTTGTTTTCACCATTATTTAATTCCTTGCAAACTGCACGGTTTGAGAATCTCCACATGGTAGTGTGACCACCGACTTGATGCTTGTACGGAATTAATTCAACAGAGCCTTTTGATTTTCTAGCTTCGTCTTGGTCTTCGGTAACATGTATCTTGGGTGTCGGCACCCTGAAGCTACGACGACGCCTTGAAGATGTAGGTGTTGCCTCAGGATCATCAGTTAAGCTTGATTCTTCATATGCCGTGGATTCCCCTTCATCGTATGAGTCATGATTTGGGTCATAAGTATCTGTAGGAGTGATATAGCCATTGCTTTCTGCTGCTGGCTCATGCTGCTTAGGAAGACGTGGCGATGGCAGTGGTCGTGGTTTACCTTCTTGACTTTCATAAGTTTTATCTACTTCACAAGATGGGACTCGGTGTTCTTCAAGCCACTGTTGTGGGTCTGAATCTTCTGATTGGACTTGATCATTACCCCCAGCCCTTGCGACAAGGTCTACTCTGTCTCGCGGGCCCTCTCCTCTCCGTTCAGATGTACCATGAGGGGTCTTGTGAGGAACGAATAACGCCGATGAAATCTTCTCCTCGCCGGATTCATCACCGTCATCACGACTCTTAGTCTTTATTAGATTAGTACCATCTTCACTGTCTTCTCGATCTAACTGGGGTTTGCCTAATGAATTATCCTCGCCCGAGTCCGACTTCGACTTCTCAGATTCTGGAGCTGGTATGCTTCCTGAGAAGGAAGATCCCTTCGCATTACCGGGTGTTAGATTGTGATGCTTGCGTATGTCTGCCAGTAGCTGCGAAGGCATTCGTCTTACTTTGTCTGGGCGCAGAGTTTCGATACTGTGAGATGGATCAAAGTAATCGGTCTCGGTAGCCAGTCCCTCGGTAGGATTAGGAGTGGATTCGTAACCTTTGCTGTGGGCGGACGACTTGATAGGCGACTTCGGATCTGGAAAAGGTGATAACGGCTCACTTGCAATGCCTCTTGTATCTATTGTCCCGCCTTCTGGTATGCTACTGATCCTAGCAGAAGAATTTGCATCTTTTGGATGAGCTCTGTTCTTGCTTTCGCGCTTCTTTGTCTTATCCTCTGGCAGGCCTTCTCTGAAAAATCTCAAACTGTGACTTGCTTTTCGACTGCGATTGTTGTGCTCGACTCCCGATAAAGCTTCCGCAATAGCCTTTTCGACCGAACCGCCTTGATCGTCATCCCCTTGTTCGCAGATTGACCAGGCCTTCTCCACAGGTGGACTTGCCCTGGCATCTCTCCATGATCGATAGCTAGCTCGAACTCCATCTACAGGGGGGTTATCTGAAAGTGACCGAACTGGTTCTTGCATGGGTGTTGATGGTCGAGTTATTATGGCAGTATCACCTGGATTGGTGGAGAAAGACCCTTTGGGTAAATTCTGGACTCTCTTCTCCTTTGCTGTTCGTTCCAGAGAGGTTCCTCTTCCTTTAGCGTTTGAAGTTCTGAAGGGGTCCCGGTGACCGGAGAGAGCATGATTGACTTGATCCATATCAAAGATCAATCCTGTGGAGACGAACGGCGTTGCCCCGGCACTGACAGGTCTGTTAGACATGAAGCCGTTTGGATTGAACGTAATCGAAGCTGTAGCAATGACCGCGTCGTTCAAGTCCTCTGCCAAATTCCTAGCTCTCTCATTCTGGTATTGATTGTTCGAGGAAGAAGGGCGTGGCTGTCTTATGCTGGGAAGTGGATTTCGAGGTGTGCGAGGAGTAGGATCGATATTGGTTGCCGCAGATTCTTGACGATGTAAGGATAGAGCTTGAGTTAACAAAGAGGATTGATTTGCACTTGATGAAGTTGGTGGCGCGTTGGCCCTTCCTTGTGCTTCATTTTGATCGCCATGCTGAGAGATCTGTTGACCTTGCTCAGTACTCACCGGAGGGGTGTGTGCGGCATTTCTGGAGTCAGTAGGGGAGTTTGACATGAGGCGCACATTTATCGAATCCAGTGACAGTGTGAGAAAATGATTCGCAGGTATTGAACCTTCTTTTTTTTTTTCAATGGCTGGATTGAGTCTGGGAAGAATGAATTGAAAGCCAAGGATCAATCAGGCAAGGATTTACGATCAGGGAAAATGTATGTTTGATAGAAGAATAAATTCTCTAGGAAACAACAATAGAGATCTCTTGAAGCTAGTAAAAACACGTGGAATTTCTCTTCTTGATATAGAAAATAGGAAATTCTATGGAATTGGATGAATTGGATGGAATTTCAGTGTTTTGTACTTTCTTCTTCTTCTTCTCCTTCTTTCTTTTTCGATTTTCCCTCTTGTGTTCTTTGAACCAATTCAAAAACAACAACAACTGATTTTCCTCTTGTCTTGTTCTTTCCCGATTGTTTGATATATTGTTGGATGAGCTTGATATGTTATCTGTGCAGTGTAGTGTGAAGTAGTGAAGTAGTGTTGTTGGTGGTATTGGTATTGGTATTGGTATTGGTATTGATCAATCAATTGGAAGAAAGAGGAATGGAATGAATAGTAAGGTACAGGTACAGGATGGGTTGGGTTGGGTTGAAAGTTACTAATAAGTGACTAGGTACGGAGTAGTAATAGAACTGAGAAGAGGTTAAAAAAGTGGGCAAGAAGTGGTCACACAGATGAATAGAGAGGGGCTTGAAGCAGGACAGGACAGGACAGGAACAAGAACAACAACAACAACAACAACAAGTGAAGTTAAACTTTTGATTCAAAACAGGAATGAGTGCTTGGTATCTGGATGCTGGCGGTACAAGAAAGTAGAATCAAATGTTTATCATTCTCATGAGAAATGAAACTCTTGAAACCAAACCAACGGTTGAACCCGAGGAACATATTACGAAAAAGTATATCACGCTCAGCTGGGCACGAATTCAAAAACGTAATTTGGGCGTTGAGAGCATGACGAATGAAGTTGAGTTGAATGGTAATGGTAATGGTAATGGTAATAGTAATGGTAATAGTAATGGTTATGGTGACAGCGGTAACAAGAGAAAGAGTGAGTGCGTGAGTGCGTGAGTGCGTGAGTAATGCCACAAACATGTGCGTATTTCCTCATATGATTTCCCTGCGTCGATATCGGTCTTGGTGTGGGTGTTGGTACTATCGAATTGCCTACGACCTATGTAGGTAGGTGGAAGGGCATAGGGCTGTCATACACACACAACCTTACACATATACCACGTAGTATGACGGGTGACGGTAAGGATCGATTGCCTCCAAATCCGATAAGTGATGGAATGCTACGACCAGGGGTGATGGAAGAATATCCAGAAGGAATCAATCATACTATCCACCCATCGGCTTCCATTTCAATTCCAGAAGCCGATGAAGTGATTGAATGAAAGATATTGGGTAGATGGGATGCGGATGGACCTTACCTAGTGTGTACAGTAATGATCGATATCACACTTGGAAAACCATGATTCATTCCCTTCCATCACACCGGTTGATCCAGATATGAGAATTCTAGAAACGATGATCCAACCTTGTGGATATCAACTTTACTCCTTCCACGGCATGCTAGATACCTACCTACCTACTTAGTACTTAACGCGGGTCCCAATTAGATTAAAGAACATCCATTCCTTCTCCAGCAAAACCCATACTCCACTTCCACTCCCACTTGCGACTCCATTCTATCATCATGCTTCTTTCGGCATCCTTATCAATCATCAATGCCAAGTGACGATGGTCCTAGGCGATCGAAATGGACATTTAGCAAAGCGTGGCTTACTAGGTACGTACCATGAGATGAGAACCCAGATAAGCATCTCTCCAAATCCCAACCTCTTATCGATCCATCACCCAGAAACCGACATTGTTATCCCATTATCCCATTATCCCATTATCCCTACAAATCCCAACCTTGACTCCATCCACTCCATCTGAATCTCGAATTCGGCCATTTGCCTACCCACCCTCCACCTAGCATCCCAGTACCAACTAATCTTCCCCTCCATCCACCCTTTAGAACAACACGAAACTTCAAACATCAAACATCAAACATCTTACCACTCACTCACCCCAACCACCACGCCAAAAATACTAAATCGGTTCCTGTATCCCCAACGCACCGCGTCGCACCGCACCGCAACGCCCAACTCTATCTACATCCAAATCCAATAACCATCCCCATCACAAAACGTGGGAGCATCAACAAGTAATCCCTCGCGACCACAAAATTCCACATTCCCTTCACGACACATCAACATGCATTCAATTGGTTAAAGTGATAGGAGCGGTCAAACATTGAGAATAATTGACTTTGCGGGGAAAGAAATGGAATTCCTTCCGGTACCTCAAATTATTGTTACAAACCAACACTACCTAGGTACCTACCTATCCACGTAAATGAAACCCGATAAAGTCAAATTCCAAAGATCGAATCACAAAAGACTTTATGTAATTATTTACGACAACTATAGCTATAGCTAGGTATAACTTCATCATAAGATCATCTGCTCTTGTCCAGGCTATGTAGGTAAGCAAGGGTATTCTATTCATCTCGCATCCCATCCGTTTCATCCGGTACCGGTATTCCATCAATCCATCCATAACACCAAAACCCAAGCAATTTTACACATCAACTTGACACGCTCGCGATAGCCCCTTTCGCTACAGTACCCTATCATGTCCATATCTTCTCAACAGAAAAAATGCCTCGTGAATGTAAACCATTATCCCGTTTCGGAGTTGCCAATTCAAAATCCGTGCTAGCTTTATTCATCTCCCCCTCTACCGACCAACCCCCCCCTAAGAAATCTTCCGCTTCATTCAGAAAATCTCCCAATATGTGGTCTCCCAATTTAGCATTACTAGAAGTTTCATTCAGAGCTGTATGTGTAGATAAACAAGAATTTGACACTTGGCTTCCCAAATCACCTTCGTCTACATCCTCAAAAGTTGTGTAACTTTGACTCCTTGCTTTCCGGCTGCGTGAAGGACTTAATGTGAGACGACGTTCTCGCTCTCGTGAAGAATGGCGATCAGCTGAGATGAAGGCTTCTGCCATTGCATCAATTGCCGGGCTACTGGCAACCAGGTTGGTCGCACCCGAAAGGGTGCTCTTGTACTTTGCAATCGAAGAAGGGCGCTGAATGGTGCTATTAAATCTCGGTGTACTATCACCCACAGATTTTCTACGAATTGCGGAGAAGTGGTTTTGGAAGCTGTCAATATTTGTGATGTTGTCGTCAAACTCAGCCCTTTTACTTCCGAGATCCCCTGGGCGATATGAGCTTTCCGGAGACGGTGACCGGCGTTGACGCTGCGAGTTACATTGAGATTGAGATGGGTCTTCTTCATCCAATAGTCCGAATGATACTCGCTTGCGCTTCGCACTCTTCTTCTTGGAGTCATTTACCCATGGATTTAGTGTAGCGGCTTCTACGAGAAGCTGTGTGTTTGATGGCCGCTGGTCGATTTCTGGTGTATTTGGTTCTTCTGGTGGAGGACTTGGTGTCATGAGATCACGGAAAGGTCGAATAATATCATTATCTGGCGTGACTGGGCGCTCTTCTCTTTGCCAACCAGAATTTGGAAACTCGGCATTAGTCTGTGGTTCGATAATTTCAGTAGTTGCAAGTAATTGAGGTGCAATTATCAGTCCCACTTCAGCTTGTGCCCAGGGACTCTGTGGGCTGTCATTTTGAACAATCATTTGATCTTCAGACCGTAGACTGAAGATAGGAGCTTTGACGGGCTCATTATCTTCGGGAGGAATAACTACAACATCTTCCCCAACAGCTAGAGATTCAGTAAGATCATGGTTGCTAGCTGGTGAGTGGACTTCATCTCCACTAGGTATCAAGGACGCAAATTGGTCCGACATAATGCTTTTGGAATTTTGGTTAATGCTCCTGGTTTTTTGAGATGATGTGAGGTTGTTTGTTCGTGCGGGTGATGATGACGTTGATGTTTGGCCGCTAGAAAGAACCGAATTTAGGGCGTCATCGGCATCGGCCTCCGTCCGCATAGCTTCCTGCACCTCTTCCGGCATATCCTGAGCCACACCTTGCATATCTCCTTCATCTTGAATTTTTTCAGAAGCAGCTATTACATCAATATTAGATACTTGGTTAGCTTGCAGCTCGGTAACCTCCTTAATCTGCTCACTCTCATGCGCAATATTAATTGCCGAAGCGACTCCTTCTTTCTCGACTTCTTTATTGGCATCCAATCTCTGGACACGTTCCAAGGTGCTATATTGAAGATTGTCCTCCCGGGTGATTCCACTGACTTCTGAATTAAGTGTAGTTACGATGACATGAGGAGATTGCTGATTGTCCTCCAAATTTTGTGTCGGATCGGGGGCTTGTGAAGATTCATAGGTATTCATTATTGACTTGGCGGGACTGGTAATGTACGATTGTGTACTCGACCCATCGAGGCTTTTGTAAGGTGTCGGTAAATCGATTTGACTGGAAATTTTGGAGAGAGTCGGTAAATGGGGTGATGATGTTGAGACAGGGCGTGTAGATCGAGCAGGAGAGGGATTTCCAAGGCGCGATGATTGTAGACTACTTTTATACTCGTAGTCCCCAAACATGGGAGCCTCTGTATGCTCAAGAGGAACTGACCGTCTCAAAAAAATTGAACTTTGATAGATCTGCGTGATGTCCATTGAAGCGGATGATTTTGGAGCATGATTCAAATCATCTTGTGTTGTAACCCAGCTATCGTCAATATCTTCGTTTTGTGGACGATATTCTCCTCTAATTGTTTTATCAGAATGCATTGTCGATGGAGTAAGTCGAACTTCTTCTTGTGTAGTAAGCCAACTTTCATCGGCCCGAGAAGTTCTACGAGATGAACCTTTCGATCTTGAAGAGTTTATCCGCTTCGGCGGAGACACTGAGGTTGCTTCCGCCTTCTCGGTTGAGTGTAGAACCAAGGGGGTCGAGAGCATTGCATCGCTCTGAGGGTTCGGGTTGGACCTATTTTCCTCAGATAATGACACTTCGCTACCTTCTCCTCTAACAGTTATGGGCTGACTGGGGACTTCTGGGGAAACAGTCTTGCGTTTAGACTTCTTTCGAAACTGAAATTGCTCTAGGTTGACAGAAGAGGGTGCAACATCAGTGACAAAACTGATATTTCCAGGAGTTTGCTGATTTTCATGAAGTACCGCACCAATTCTCGGATGTGAGGGGAGTCGCGGAGAAGTGTCCGATTTTGTTGGCGAAGGCTGCCGGGCGCAAGCTTCTTTGCTATCTGGGCTTTCAAATGGTACAGGAGAGCTGAGCCCAGGCGAGTTCTCGTACATATGAGGATATTTGCTACAGGATTCCAAGATGGAAGAGCTGCGCAGTTGCTGTCCTTGTTGTCCAATATTAGTGTGAAACGATACTTCTGTATCAAATGCGTCGTTACTTGGTTGCTGCAAAGATGCATAGCTCTCTGGGGTAGCTAGCCTTTGTTGTTTGGCCTCTGGAAAAAAATCGGATTGCGGATGAATTGCATGCTGAGTCCGCTTCTGTATAACAGTTGTAGTGCCTGTAGCCTTTTGTTGGAGTTTCTCACTGTCTACATGAGGTAATGGAGTCGGCGATGAAACTGCTGGGTCTTCCCAGCGAGCTCGTTTCGAGACATGAGAACCTTTCAACCAAGCTACCTCCATAGGTCTCTTGACAGCAGTCCATGTTTCAGACCGTCTACCATAACCATCTTTATTCAAAATCGAGCTTCCCGTGATTGGTGCATCTTCAGAGCCCCTTAGTTGCCCAGGTGTAGGAATTGATGATTTTGGAACCTGTAGTAATGATGGCCTGATTATTGGTTTGCCTTCAGCCATCCTACCTTCTTTTCCCATAGTTATATCTTCGTGTATGGTCTCATCCACCAGCGTTCTATTTGGGCCACTCGAGGGCTCACTCCCCGTTTCCATATAGTCATTCATTTCCATTTCTTTTGCTTGTCGTTTAGCGTCTCGTCGACACCATGCAAGTGCTTCTGTGGGACTCATATCATTTCTGCCATGCTCCCTAGCTCTTCGCATAACATCCTCCTTTCTAAATAGCATATCTTTTGAACCAGGTTTCCACCAGTCCCCTCTCGATGTCTCCAAGGATTTACCCACTCGTTGAGAGGTCCCCTTAGTTGCGCAGATTGTATGATTGGCAGTTGTCCACGATCCACCCTTTCCGCACATTGTTCGTATTGCTGTCGTTTTTTGATTATTGCTCTTGGATTCGCCTCGGAATCAGAACCCTCACAAATGAGGTCTTCTGGCTTGTATGCTGGTGTAAAGTAAAATGGCTCGTCATCGTTATCCGAGGTGAGCGAGGACCTGCTCATGTGGAGAGACATTCCTGTAAATAGTCCATATGCTACATTCCAATAGTTGGGTTGTGTCTCAAAGTGTGAATGTGATCACAGAAAGTAATCAGTTATCGCATTTTGATGTGGCTGACCAGGCAACTCTTTTCGTGTTTGCGTGTTTTGGCGAGGACTCGAAAACACGTGATAAATGGCACAGATCTAAAGTGGTTTATTAATCATTAACCTTCTCTCGCAGCACGCATTTTGATTTCAATTCAAACCCTTCGAGCCTTTGATTGTAGATTATCATTCTTTTCTACTCCAATTCGGATATTCAAGACCTTGAAGTCACACATAGTATCCGACTTACAATGAACAGTTGAACAACATAAAATGCAATCATTGGCCATGTACTATCGAGAGCAACACAATGAATGCTCTTCCCTTCGTACCCCGTCTATTCAGCCCCGGGAAAGGATATGTACGAATCTCATGCAGAAACATTTCAGTGAGTACAAGGTCATCCTCGTACCAGAGCTACACAGGAGGATATCTACTTACTTGCATTGATACCTCGACGATCCTGAGAAGGCACCAGCAGGTTCCTTTCTCAATACCTATTCAAAACCACTTTGGATGGCAAGTCAAGGTTTATATTGGCCAACGATATACTTCCAGTACGATCCGCTTTAATAAGGTTATCGGAAGATTAAAATACTGGAACAAATCAACACACCTACGTAGGGATAAACTTTGAGATGAACTGATTTGGGACTTGGTAATCAAGAGGATTAAATAATATCTGGAATATCTGCATTGCCAACTCAATTGAGCTCCGCAATATATCCAGATATTCCAGCCTTTAATATACCTTGACAAATAAGAAGGAAGCACTTTACTGAGAACTGACATGTTGAAAGAGTTTCATAGTATCATCGAGCTCAAGCTGTAGCTGTAGGTACGAACGAGATCACATGAATCTTCATCTACTCCATACCTAGTATCATGCCCAATACCACACCGAACTATACTCCATACCCTTTTTTCTTCTTTCCTTTCTTTTGGTTTTATTTTAGGATCCATTCGACGTGGGGTTGAGACTGCTTCGTAGTGGCTTGGAAGATTGATTACCGTGATCACCTACCTAGTCCTATTTTTGTTTTTGTTTTGATAGGCCATTTCCATTGTTTTCCTTGTTCCTTCCTGCACGACTTTTATCATTAAAAATGTCCAAGTGCCAACCCCCAGCCTAGACCACAATTCAATGTTTCAATCCCACTTCGCGACCATCTCAATTCACCACACTCTATTCTACGGCTTTTAAGTATGTTAAACAACCAATAAATTCTATTCTACTCACTACCTTGGGAAATGTATATTGTCTCAAAACTCATTTATACAATTAATATTGCATACGCTTAGACGCGACACTATTCACGCGATCATTGACTTCAACAACAACAACCATAAACAACAAACATTCAGCACAAGACAAAGCCGAATTCATGCTCACTGCCCATAACCTTGCGAATCTATCAAGATGGACCAGGCCTGGTTAGATTCTCTCTCCGAAGACTGGGTATCTCAACCTCGATCTGAATCTCCACCTCGAACCGAATCGCCAGAGCCCGAACTCCCATCTCTCACCAATGGCACATCTGATTCTTCAAATTCCCGTCCAACAACTGCTCCGCCTAGTCGCATACCGAAGTTTAATGCAGAGACGAAATCTTGGTCGAATCAGCCGGATAGTAATCCATTGAGCGAAAGGAGTCAGAACGAGAACAATATTCCCTTATCCCAGCGAAACCATCAGCCATCAAAACTACGAAGTGAGATACCGCAGAGCCCAAGGAGCGGGAAAGTCTCTCGTCCTTTGTCAGCTTGTAGCACACATACAACAGAATACAACACAATACAGCACAACAAATCTCTCAGCGCATCGCCCAAGAAGAGCTCAAAAGATACACCTGAATGGAAGAGGAGGCTACTCCGAGGAGATGTCGGCTATGGCGAACAGCGCGATCTATTTAGCGCTGCCGGTCTCGAGACGATATTTCAACCACCCCCTGCCGAATCTTCAATAAAAAAACCACCTACTTTTGGAGAAAGTAGTATCATGCCATCCAGCCCCCCCTCTATCGCACAAGATTGGAGCCTCCACAATTTGACGACAGCGAGTTGTCATCTGAGGATTCTGTGCAAGGAGATGGGAACGTTCTACGGGGCATGAGATATAAGGTGACGGAAGATTTTGGCAGTGAATTTTCTACCAACGATTTGAGTCGAGGAAGCGATTTCAGGCCCACGGTATTGAATACTCTGAGTCCCGTCAAGGAACACTTTTCTCCATCCGATTCTGTTTTTAACAACGACAACCTCCACGCCAAAAAAGAATATCTCGACGTAGGACGAGCTATAAGCGGGCAAAGTGATACGCACAACGAGTTCCTCTCGCCGATATACTTAACAACACAGAGTGCTTTGCCAGATAAGGCCGGGGTTTCACCAATGGATATATCACCTGCTGAACTTCAAGAACGTCTAGAAAAGCTTCGCGCCGACGGCCCAGATGTTGATGAAATGGAAGACCCCCAAAGCGTTTCCCGGCCTATCACTGGGGATACGGATGATTTCAAACACAACGGACAATTTGTCAGTGCTCGAAGAGGCGGTCATTCTGAAGAAGGTTCTTTCCAAAAACGAATGCTGAGTTCTTCTTCCCTGCCACAAATTGACGAATCAGCCCTATCAGTTGATGATTCTCGACACGATGCCTCTGAGAAGCAACTCCCGAAGATACGAAAAACAAGAGCCTCCAATGAGCTTCTAGAGCCACCTGTAAACCTACAATCTCCCCCCATCGCGCCAATACCGCATCCTAGTCCGGTCAAGTCCCCCGTCAAGAGCAATTCCGGCAGTCCCTTGAAACTGTTTGGTACTCATGATACGTTTACAAGTCAAAAGCTTCTACGTAGACTGAGTCAATACGAGGAGGATCGGGGAAGTGAGCTTGAACCAGACGTGCCACCAAATACTGCTCATGAGCCCAATCATCCCCATATAGATAATGCAGATGATAGCCGGCCTGTATCGGAGGGTAGCTATTTCCCAAAGGAGCGTACGACAAGGAGATATAGTAGTTTTGGCGTTGGCGACTTGGATAGTTATCGGTTCAGCGAGGATGCCTCTTTTGAGTCGAATGGATCTATCTTACACAACGATGATGTAGAAAAACTCGACCTCCCTGTCCTAGATCCGAAGTCACAAACAAGATTTAGTTTTCGACTAGATTCTTCACCGAGCGTCAAGGAAGGTGAAGAAAGACGAACTAGTGGCAAATACAGAACTGCCAGCAATAGCACCAGCAGGCGCCGCAGCTTGAGCGTTAGAAAGAGATCTAGCACTGGCTCTACATCGCCATCTACAGTCTTGCCCTCGTTTCAAATCAACGAAAACCTCAAGACACCCAGGAGATCGAATGGCGAGGCTGAAGGAAAACGACTTATGAGATCCCCAGCGAAAGATTCAACACCAAAGAGGCGTCGGACACTGCACAGGGCGGACATTTCTCTTCCACTACAGCCTGAAGAACCGCTGGTCTTACTTCCTGGTCCTTCGCGTCCATCCACACAACCAGCCATGGGTAAAACACGCCAATACAATGAGCGAAACGTTCAAGCTGCTGATCCGAAGATACTTGCAATGCGACAACTACTTCGCCCTCGGACTCCCACTCCTAGTCAGCGTAACAGTCAACAGCACGAAGAGGCACCCTTTGCTGAGTCAGGTCTCACATCGGACGAACGTGCAAGACTCTTGCAAGAGCAAAAGATTGCTATGATCCAAGCTGAGCTTGATCTGGCCAACCCTGATAGGCCTCTTAGCGCCAGTCAGGAATCTCAGGAGAGTCGAAAACCCTCTGTAACTACCCAGGACTTTCTAGACGAAGCGAAGAAGATTATGGCTGGCATTCGCGGCAAAGCAAGACCTCGCAGTGGTCTTACCAGTGTAGACGAGTCAGAGTCCGAAAATGATCGTGCTCCATCAGACAATGCAGCAGATGACGAGCTGGAAGATTCGTACCAGGAATCAACTCAGGAGCTGTTTGAGAGGCCACCAAGCCGCGAAGGTGCCCCAGTATCAAGAACGCCCCCAACTCAAGATCCAGAGCTTTTAAATCACCTACGCAAATATGAGGAGAACAGTGAAATGGATGGCATCATTGCTTCATCCATAAAGTCTATGGCTATGGCAAAAGAAGTTGTCAGAAATGCGAGGGAAGTTGACAGAATGGCAGACGAAACAATTTCAAGATCACTTGGTCACTTCTTAGATCCTATCAATGCAGTTCAGAGCGAACCAGCAAATATTCGCATATCTAACAACCCAGATATTCAGCGAAAACGTAAACACTCTGGCTCTTCGCGACAACTGGACGAAGAATATGATGACCCTGATTTTTTCACACAAGGTTCGAACAATTCCATACCCACAACTTCATCCAGAGGTTCGGATTCGAGGCGTGTAATTGCTCCACATACAGTATCTCATCTGATACCAGAACAACTTGCTGGCATGGTTTTTGATCGAGATCGGAATATCTGGGTAAAGAGGAAATCTACTAGAGAAAATGATGGGCAAGATTCCCCTATTTCCGAAGGAAGTGAAGAAGATCCTTTTGAGGACATTCCTGATTTGTCATTTGATGAAACGCAAGAGCTCATGAGGCTGAGGGCTGTTGCTGCCAAACAAAAGGAAGACGCACGATTACGCTTGGCCGAATATCTCGATAACGAAGGACAGCACGGTGCCTTGAGTGGCCAATTCTCGCCTCAAAAGACTTCGAGTATGAATGTTCCGCTGGTGGATAACAGACCCCGGTCAGCACCGTCAGAGCCCATCCAAACTGCCGTAGATAGTCCTGTCCCAGAGGTTAAAGTTCGATCCGTCTCTGTAGGTGAAGATAGCATCCTACGTCCAAAAAAGACCCGGCGTGGGAATGTAAACAAGTCTGCTTTTGGAAGTCACGCTTCAACTGAGGGCAAAGCCCCCGAAGAGAGTAGGAGACTGGTCGAAGACGATGTATTTATTCAACCAGATGGAGACCTGAGTACCACAACTCCAAAACGTCAACGGAATGTTACAATCACTTTCTCGTCTCCTATCGCGGAGCTTATCGAGCCGCCTACTTACAATGACGATGATAGCTCAGCAAAGGGGGGAGCTTACCAATCCGACGATGACAGTGTCAACGAATCGGATAGCGATGATGGAGGGAGTATTCGAGTTAAAAAGGGGAAATCTAGACAAGGAAGCGGGAATCGTGGAGGATATAGAAACAACTCTCGTAGACTATCGGTAGGAGGGCAACAATTCATGCCGCGTCCAGTATCACGAATTGATGAGCAGGACGAAGAGTCTTTCAATAAAGGAAGAGGTGGCAAGAATAAATCTGGGAACAATCTTCTCCCAACACCATCTATTTCGCCAAAAAGGGTTAATAGTATAGTGCTCGCTACACCACGGCCCATTCACGAGATCGGGACTCTTGAACTTACTCCACTCTCAGAATTTACGATGCATCAAGCAGACGAATCTTATGGGATGGACGTGAGCTATGTGGCAAACGGGCAGAAGCATAATGCAGGGCCTTCTTCAAAGACAACACTTTCTCATTCGATCAAGGAAATGGTTGAAAAATTGACTGAGATAGAACCATATGAGCCATACTGGGAGCATATGAAGAGCGCCGATCTGCATAGGAGGAAACTGACAAACTTGCATAAACTCGACGAGTTTTGTGAGCACCTGGAGGAACTGAAGGTTTCCAAAAACGAAATTAGTCAACTGAACGGTGTTCCTTCATCACTTCGCACGCTCATTATTAACCATAACCGTCTTTCTGATCTTACATCTTGGGGCCATCTGTGGAATCTCCAGGAAGTGGATGTCTCCAACAATGAGATTGAAAGCCTTTCCTGTTTCAAAAACTTGGTGCACCTGAGAAGCTTACAAGCAGACAATAACCAAATCGCTTCGCTACATGGTATTGGAACTCTTGATGGCTTGATCACACTTCGGCTTCGAGGCAATCCAATTGAGACACTCAACTTTGAAGGAACAAACCTCAAACACTTAGAACATCTAGACCTTAGAGGTTGTCAAATTTCAGAAGTCAAGAATATTGGGCATTTACCGAATTTGTCGAGCCTCGATTTGGAGAATAATAAGTTGGTCAATTTCATGACATCGGACGATACATGCTCGGCTAGAGAAGTCAGGTTGAGCTTCAACAACCTTGATACTTTCGATGCGAATCTCACACCCGAGATTCGTATTCTCTATCTGGATTCCAATCGAATTAAGACTATCACCGGCCTCCTCCACAAAAGAAATCTTTATAGTCTCTCAGTGCGTGAACAGCAATCTGGTACGGTTCTGGACAAATCGTTTCTCCGTGAGGCTTTCGAAGTGAGAAAGTTGTTCCTGTCCGGTAATCACTTGGGAACCTTCGATCCGGGTGTCGAATATCTCAATTTGCAATATCTTGAACTTGCAAACTGTGGTATTACTTCTCTACCAGATGATTTTGGTCTTATGGTGGCAAACGTAAGAGTTCTAAATCTCAATTTCAACGGGCTGCAAGAGTTTCAAAGTCTGCTTGGTATCGTCCGTCTCAAGAAATTGCTCCTTGCCGGAAACCGTTTGTCTAAAGTAGAGAGACTTACAAGAACCTTGAGAGCGTTTCCTCATCTAACTACTGTCGATATGAGAAACAATTATGTTAATCATAACTTCTACCCAATAGCATTGGAAAGATGTTTGATCAAAGATGGCGGACTCGAGAGAAATGACCTGGATGTTATTGATCCATATTCTCTTGGCAATGCAGATCCAGTAAGAGATGCTCATTATATCTCGTGTTCGGATATGGCAACAAGATTGATGCGACGTGTATACGAAATGCTTGTCTTTGGAAAGAAAGGCGACAATCCCAAACTACAGAAGTTGGATGGTCTTCCGATCAATAGAGAGGTCTCAAAAATTCGAGATGACGTTTGGGATAAGCTTCTCGAAATGGGTTATATAAAGTCATCGGAAAAATCCAAAGGGAAGACAAATAGTGGTCCAACTGAGGATGAGAAAACAGAAGAGAGCCTGTTAGGAGAGGATTTTCATCAGCACACCCCTAAAAAAAGCTCAACGGATGAAATGGCTAAGAAGATGGAAGGGTCGCAACACCGATCCAACAGTAATGACGTTGGGCAAAGAGTTCAAGGCCCACATGATACTAAATCTAATTTTGAAAACATCGAAATGAAGGTTAAAAAGCCACCTGCTGGCAGTTTTGGCAAGAAGATCGCGGAGCCTAAAGTTGATGTAAATCCAATGACCCGAAAGAGCGCCACACAAAAATCAACAGGGTATGATATTTCGCAGGAGAATACCGGAAATCCTTCTCAAAGTGGCCAAGCATTTAGTATCTACAAACCCAAGGCACAAGTTCCACTGGACCTCAATTCTCGGGAGAGTGGAAATGCTGAAGCACCTGAAGTCGACTCGGCATCAGGACCATCTACAAGGAAGAAGAATGAAATAACACGCAACATAGAGAGAATTATCGCAGAGAGCCAAGCTACTGTTGCAAAACATAGGGCCTTAGTAAGACGTATGGATGATGAGCCTGGAGAAAGCGTGTCCGGACCGAAGCGGATGGACACCAATAGACCTAAGGCTGGATTTCCACCTCCAGTGATTCCGCTCGCCAACCAGGCTATTTACCAGCAACAACCATCACAACATTCTGGAGCTAGCGCCCCAACAGCTGCTCAACTGAAACAAGAGCTGGAGGAGATGCTGCAGTCATTCGAGCACGAGACGAAGTCGAAAGAGGCCAAACTGTTGAACCGAAATCGATATGACCATGGGTCTTCTATTCGACCGGGCAGCCGAAGCAAGCCAGTTACTAAGAGGGGCGCTAAGAAGGTTGAATTCGCTGAAGGGAGTAAGGAGGCTAACGCAAGCAAAGAGCCGCGCTGGCCAGCTGAGGATAGCTTTGCTTGAGTAGCGAAAGTTACGAATTATGGATAATTACGAGTAATGCGGTGGGATGGTTGGGTTGTACAAATAGGATAATCACTAAGGCATGGTGTTGGTGGTTCTACAAAAGAGTTTGGGGTTTGTGGGATTATCTTTGTATAGTATTATTACAGTATTGTTTGGAAGACCACGGAGTGGTCAAGTGATACCTTTCGGCGTATACAATTGCTTGCTACATATAAAAACATCATTTTTCTATAATTTCGACGTCTTTGTTTGCTTCTCCCACTCCGCGACCTTACTCGTAGCCTCTTCTTTCCTCTTAACTTCTCTATCCATATTCACTCCGTCCCTCTCTTCGTTCTGTGCGTGCCCTTCCAGATATCCCAAGCTCTCTCTCCACATCTCTGCCTTCAACACTCCATAAACACCAGTCTTTCCTTTCTCCAATAATTTGCAATCATCAACTAGCTTTAACACTTCTTCCCATCCACCTAATACATCTACAAGCCCACCTTGGAGCGCCGCTTCGCCGTTGAAACGTTTTGCTTCTAAAACGAGGGAGCGGTAGGTAGAGGGAGAAGGGAGTTTTTGGCGGAATATCGAGGACATGGGGGGTTTAAGGGGCGCGCCAAATTCAAGCTCGTTGAGACAGAGAAAGCCCCGGCTTGGGTTGAAAACGCGGTAGTCGGTGTACATGGCGGTCATGAGGCCGCCAGCAAATGCATGGCCAGGGAGGAGGGAAATGGTGGGCATGGGGTAACTTTATTTTGTCAATATGTTAGAAATAACCCTATTAATTGAGAAACTGGGGTGTGTAGAATGAAAGAGAACTTACGTCAACAGCCTCTTCCAGAGCGCATAAAGGCTCTTTTCCCAAAATCCTTTAACCTCGGTAGCATGATTCAAATCTAAACCATTGGAGAAGAATTTGGGAATAGCGGAAGTGATACAGACGGCTCCGACGGGATAGGAGACTTCGAGTATATCAAGGGCGTGCATGAAAGTCTGGCAGAAAGTAGTTGTGAGACGGTTATCTGGGGGCGAAGAGAAGGTGAGGAGGTAAAGGTTCGGGTGCGCAGGGGAGGGTGTGGTGCAGGTTAGGGTGCCGGGTTGGGATTGGAGGGGGGAGGATATGGGTATGGGGAGGGTAAAGAGGGGAGTAGTGGCGGACATCATGTATGATTGAATAGTGGAATAGAGATAGAAATTGAAGGCAGAGAAGTATTATCAGATGAGATCAATATATCTAATTCTTGAGTAAAGACGCGAAGTCGCGATTGTGAGAATGCAACAATCGGTAATCACCTACATCATGCCGAGGTTCAGAAAAGCCTAGCCTTCTGATAAAGATGAAATGCCGTCTGACCTACCAGATCCGAACCTTGCGACTCAACAGTGGATAAGTCACTCTAAGATTACTTACTATCGCGAATACCCACACGTTGAGAGTTTCTAGATCCAAAATGATTCTGGGTCTATACTTCGATTATCTCGTCGATAATATGGCTCTTTCCTTGACATGTGAAGATGAAGCTTGATAAATTTAGCACAAGGCTGAAGACCCTGGCCACATCCCTGTCAGCCTACCCACCTTTATTACCAAAGAGCTTGCGACAGTCTATCTGTCACTTCAATGATCAAACACAAAACACAAATTTTTGCACGACGTCGTGATGGCTATCGCAGGAAAGCAGAAGACCATTGTGTTCTTTCATCCTGATCTAGGGATTGGTGGTGCCGAAAGACTCGTTATAGATGCCGCAGTAGGATTACAGAATCGTGGACACAAAATCGTTATATTCACCAGCTATTGCGATCCTAAACATTGCTTTGATGAAGCTCGAGATGGTTAGTTGGGCGATGGAAGTTTTGCTATGCGGTACCAATGCTTAATATGTATAGGTACACTTGATGTGCGAGTAAGAGGAAACTGGCTTGTCCCATCCTCAATCCTCTCTCGATTCTCCATTATTTGCGCCATTCTTCGACAGTTACATTTAATTGTCCAGGCCTATTTTACCTCTGAAATCAGCAGTCTAAGTCCCGATGCTTTCTTCGTGGATCAGCTCAGTGCTGGACTACCGTGGCTACGATACTTTTATCCTAATACTCGAATCTTCTTTTACTGTCATTTCCCGGATCTGTTACTCGCACAGGGAAGAACCCATTGGTTGAAACGCGCATATAGAATACCTTTCGACTTCTTGGAGCAATGGAGTATGAGTTTTGCAGAATCAATTGCGGTCAATTCCGGATTTACAAAGGGTATGGTGGAACAAGTATTTCCTGAATTGGCTAGGGAAAAGGATTTACAGATTGTACATCCTTGTGTGGATGTAAATCCAAAGAAATCTGAGACCAGTGATGATGCAGTTCCAGTCTGGCATGATAGAAATATTTTGTTAAGTATCAATCGATTCGAAAAGAAGAAGGATATTGGTCTTGCAATTAAAGCATATGCAGGATTGGGTAAGCATGGAAGACAGGGAGTGAGGTTGGTACTTGCTGGTAGGTCATGTTTCGCTATTGGTGAGAAGCATGCTGACACGATTGACAGGTGGATATGATAACCGAGTGATGGAGAACGTCGTATACCATAAGGAGCTCGTTAAACTGGCTACCGACTTGGGATTGAAGACAGCTACCACACGGACCATCGTTACAGCATTAAATGTACCTGATGATGTGGATGTTTTGTTCTTGTTATCAGTACCAAATACTTTGAAAGAGATGCTACTCAACTCAGCACGACTTTTGATATATACTCCTTCTAACGAGCATTTCGGTATTGTACCCTTGGAGGCAATGTTGGCCGGAGTTCCAGTATTGGCCGCAAACACAGGAGGGCCACTCGAAACAGTAGTGGAAGGGAAGACAGGCTGGCTCTGTCCACCTGACGATGTTGAGAAATGGACGGCTGTCATGGATAAAGTACTAAACAAGATGACGGATGATCAGGTTAAACAGATGGGAATTGACGGTGTAAAGAGGGTTAAGAATGAATTTTCTGATGTCAAAATGGCCGAGAGAATTGATGGATTGATCGATGGAATGGCAAATACGCCCAGGAAGAGTGCTCTACAACTCTCCGCATTCTTGCTAACTATTGTCATGGTTGCATTGGACATTGCATCCTGGGGCTTGGGTCAGAACACATCAGTCAACAAAAAGTTGGACAAGTTTTTGTTGCCTCCGTTCGTTCTTACCCTAACGTCATTGATATCGTGGGCTGTGTATTTTGTAGTTAATTCCCAGGTCAAGTCGAGTTCGCGGCAGCCGACTAGATGAGGATAATTAGATTATTAAATGCATTGATAACATCCCACTCTGTAGATCTTGCGGCAAGGATACATGTATGTGTATCATTGAGAAAAAAAGGGGTATGATAAATATGATTGGCTGGAACCCGCCGAGGCGAATGGAGTTTTTCCAGATACCACGAACCTCAATATTTCTTACAAATTTCAATATAGCACAACATACAGCATACAATCCTATATGTACTCTATGACATTCGTTTATTGTTTTTAATATTGAAACAGTTCTAGATACCAAGATTCTTTGGTCTAGTAGAGGCAGTTTATATATAAATTGTATTACTTACTATACTTCCCTAAAAGCCTAGGCTGGCTACTCAATCTTTCATCTTGAAACTTCCAAAAATCGCAAATTTGCCCCACCATCAGTCAATATAACGCGTGTTTTGTCTCGACACCGCTCTCTTATCATTCATTCATTCACAACTGAGTGGAACCGTATCTTCATAAACTGTTACCAATAAACACGCCAATCATTACCACTCACTTGGCTTTTCAAATAGCCAAAGCCGATAGATAGTTTTCGGAGCTGCGAGCCCCAACAAACTTTACACTGCAAGAAATTTGCGAGGTACGAAGCAATTCTTGGGTCATCCGCCAACCAATCGAGCTTGTTGCATTCCCGACGAGTGCATATCCTGGTGTCATTGGAAGGGTGGGCATAGTGGGATACTGGGGTAGTGGTAGTATCCGTCGATATCCGACACCGTACTTGAACGATTGATCTGTTTGCGGGGAGCTCCTTCTACATACGTATACCCGTACTCGAAGATGTTGTTGCTTAAAAGTTCTTTCTCGCCCATGGCGGCTGGGAGGGTCTCGACACGCACTCTTTTGCATGTCTTGAAAAGTGGTAGATTCAGTAACGCGATGGGGGAATTACAAGCACCATTGTTTAATCACGTGCTGCAGAGGTCCTACAGTCTCAAGAGTCTCAAGAAGATAGAGAAGTTTGGCTCTGTAGTTGTTGGCACTGGACCAGCTGGACTTGCGGTTGTGGGCAATCTTTTGGAACAGAAGAAAGGTCCAGTTTTATGGGTTGGGGACGCTCAACGTTCGGGGGGTGGCAGATTAGACCGAGCGTATCGAGCTGTGCCTTCGTGAGTTTTGTCCTTCTCTCTATTGATCAAGCCTTGAATACAAATCTAATGATCTTCTGCCATAGCAACACGAAAGTCAAGTTCTTTTCTATGTACGCAGATGCTTTAGAACCTTTCAAGCAAATCACAAGTGAAGCTGCTACTCCTAACGCTTATAGCGTTTTGCAAGATCTTGATCAAGAAAAGACTTGTCACATTGCTGAAGCTGCTGATTTAGGGTTGATGTTGGGAGCCGGGCTTCTCAAAACCGAGGGTGTTTTTGGAGTCAATAATGGCACAGTTGAAAGTGCTTCTTGGTCCGATGTAAGTTCAGTGTTTAGGTCGACCTTCTCCAAGCTAATGCCAAATAGACCAAGGGCTGGGACGTCAAATTCAGTGCCGCAGGGAGTAAAACACGTTCAGTATCCTCCGATCTCCTTTTTTTGTGTACTGGCTCTCACCCTAGTTGGAATAGCATTGAGCTCGATCAATCTAGTAAGCGGATACCTAGCCTTGGTCTTGACAGATGTTTGAAGCCTTCACTATTGAGGCAAAGTATCCGTTTTGCTACGAAAAAGAATCCAGATCCAACTCAACCCACCACCATTGCCGTCATTGGTGCGTCTCACAGTGCAATTCTCGTACTGAGAAACCTTTATAATCTCGCAACTTCCCCTGACCAGGAATTCCAGAACCTTCGTATCAAATGGTTCACTCGTCATGAGCTTCGATATGCCGAGGAACGTGATGGTTGGATCAAACGCGATAACACGGGTCTCAAGGGTGAAGTCGCTACATGGGCAAAGGAGAATCTCGAGGCTGATACATTACCCACATCTGACGTATCCAAATACCTCGAAAAAGTAAAGACCTCGACAGAAGCCGAGAAGGAAGACTACGAGAAACATTTACCCGGATGTAATTGTGTGGTGCAGGCTATTGGGTTCACCAAAAACAAGCTTCCAACTATCGAGAGGGATGGCACGCCATTGGAGATTACCTACAATCATGAAACATCGGAATTTGTGGATGCTGAGGGAAAGACGATTAGGGGGTTGTATGGTGCTGGAATCGCGTTTCCGGAGAAGGTCGTGGATCCTGAGGGAACAACGGAGTACGCTGTTGGCTTGTGGAAGTTCATGAAGTATTTGAAGAGGGTTGCGCCAACGTGGACTGCGTGAGGGGAGATGCTGTGATATTATCATGGTGGTAGGAGATGCTGCATGATCAATGATGTAATGAGATAGACTTTTTGGTGCCTCCAAGTTTAAATTGTACATACCCTGATGCAAGTCCTGTACCTATTGCCGCAAGTGTAAGATAGTGAGATAATGAAGGAAGAATATTGCAACTCAGCAATGCATCCTCGGTTTCATCACACAGCTATTATGGGCGCTTTTTCTAATGTTGCTTGAATCATGCATACTCACCTCGAACTTCGAAGTCATTCCACAGACTGAATCTATAGTATACATACCTCGATCTAGTTTCAGACATCGAACTTATTATATCATATGGTAAAGTCACAACACAGATTGAATCTGAGATGTGTACCTATCCAACCAGCCACACCCGCTCCAAGCAGGACATCTACTTTTCATCTTCCCTTTGCCTCCATCAAACATTTCTTACCATGCTCGTCGTAAGCTCAATCCAACTAACAAATTCCGGTCTTGTTTGTGTAGAATGCAAGCATACCGAGTCTGAATATTGGAGACTGTGGAACTTCCCTTAAACCTTTACACAAAGTGTGCTTCTAGCGTGGTTGTAAGCATGAAGAGAAAATAGTACTTCTTCTGGGTTGGTCGTATTAGACTGTTTTACTTCAAAATCATTTGCTAGTTTATTTAACTGTTAGCAACTCCTCCGCTGTAAGGCTGAACTATATCTAACCCCTCGCATGTATGACCCAATGATCTACTAACCCATTCTAGTAACCTATACTTGACGCGGAACCGGCGCTTGCTCCGTATTACAGTAGATGAGGAAGTTTCATGTTTCATACCGATCTTTGCATGTGCATGTGTATATATCATATCCACGAATGCGCAACTCTTGTCATAAGAATGCCTCTGTTGGATATCAGGGTATTAGTATGGCTTGATGACGTAGCGATTCAATTTTGAACTGCGATGGTCGTCGAGTTACTAAAGATTACTTCAAGTCCTCTGTCATCGAGAGTCTCATGATGCGAACCGAAAGTTTTGGAGAGGATGCAAGAGGTTGCCATCGTCTAGATTACACCATAAGGCAATAGATTTAGGGAAGGGGGGTCGACAGTATTTGCTTCCAAAGTAGAGGTGAGAGTATCGCGTCTTCTCGTTCTTCGTGTGACTCAAAGGGCCAACGTCGAAATCTGGAATTAAGCAAAAATGGAGCATCGTAAGAAAAGGTCAATTGGAAACGATCATGGATGTCATTTAGGAATTAGAGTAACCATCAAGGGAAAAGTAGAAGGGAAGAAGGAAAGAGTGATCACTCAATTAGTTTTGGAGTGAGTACCATCAATATTACGAAAGCAAGAAAAAATTCTTGATTAGATGGTTACGTTCTGATTATTTGACAGAAGGGGAAGGAAATGGAAGCAAGCGAAAATGAAAGGAGAAAAGAGGAGAGGAGTTAAATTCCTTCAACTTGATCTCCTTCTTTCCTCACAAGATGATAACATTGTAGAAAGTCAAAGTGCTTTCTGCATCAAATTCTGCTTCTTCTCCTCGATTTTCTCTGTCGCTCCCCATTGTGATCCAAATTTATCCATTGTCGTCAATCATTCTCCTTCGCTATCTAAAAACTTCTTGTTACCCTTACATCGATAGTCCAACAAGCGTAAATGAATGGTATCAATTTATCTCCCAAAATTGTCTATTAGATCCATGCCATCATCAAAGCTTGTCGGCACAGATGAGATTATTCATGTTCACATACCAAAAGGAAAAAATGGGCACAAGCATTACGCATCATGACTACACGAAGTCACCTGTAGAATGGCGCTATGGTAAGAAGACAAAATTCATTCAAAAGTTTCTCTCATGATTTCCGAGAACAATCATACAGTTTTCCTTCAATTTATTTATTCGCGCATGCTCCATTACAATCCGGGATGGTGAGGAATATCTAAATGACATCATATTAGCCAGATGTTCGGTTGGCAGATGGAAGTCAAAGAGAGTGATTACTAGCCTATGCCATTGGCATCAACGAAATACTGGGTTCCAGAAACCGTCAACTGTGTCATTATTTCTTGCTATTTGAGCCACGACGTATCAGAAAATGTTCAATCTTCGTGAAAGGAATTCATTCAATATCTAAGTATTCGTTGAACGTCGTTTTTACCTTTAACTCCACAGGTTCCTGCTTCTGTCCTCCACAACAAACATATGGGCCATTGAGTGGGGCACTTTGGGGCCATCCTCGCGAAGTCGCAATTTCCCGTTGAAGTTTCTATCAGAGTATCAATAATGTCTTCGATTCTAGCACTACCTTGCCTCTCTGTTACCACGAACTCTTATATGACCCAGCTTCATTCCAAGTATTTGCCTATGATCATCAGTACTTCCCTTTGCCGCGACCTCTACTCTCAATCTACTCACATATCCTTCTCGGTGATGTCCTTCACCACTTTCCAATTATCAAATCCTGCATCCACCAAGCGATTCAGATAACATAGCATCTGAAGTCTGTTAAGTATCAACTGAAGTTCTCTGTCTGGAGGATTCATGTCTGGGAGATCCATGTTTGGTAGATCAAAGTTCGAGAGATCCATATCAGGAAAATCCATCTTCTGGAGTCATCTGTTGCGAAGTTCTCCAGAAAACATTGAAGAGTAAAGGTCTGGACTGCAAGAAAGCCGGAGAATGGAGCTCCGTGCGCCTTACTTCCAATGCACTGAGCAGGATAATGCCAGCTTTAGCTGCGTGCTGAGATCAAGCAATCCAATCACCAATTACATGTTAGTGCTGTATACCGGGTTTGATACCACATTCGGCTTATCTTCCTATTTGACCTGCGCACCTCGAGTGCAACGCTTGACCATGATATACAACCCTTGTATCAAATACACAGACGCGCTAGTTCTTTGATACGCTCTAAAGCCATGACATGGTGCTATGACACCCAAATGAATGACAAAGACTACCAGTGAGAAAGCTTTTCTCGAGAAAACTCCTCAAATGTATACATAGAACAGCGCATCCAAGGACGTTCCCTCGATTAACTATGTGTAACTACCACCCCCGCCACCTATTACAAGATCTCATTCACACGCCCTCGAAGCAATCAGGATCCCCGTAGAAAGTATAGTTTTGAACTGAACCAACCATTCCTTCGGAGATACGTCCGGTATTCGCTTCGTCTAAGCACGAGCCACGCTATAAAAATGTGGCATGTTAATGCTGGTACGGGAGTTCTACCTGCGTCTTTTCACGAGATATCACTGGATTGCTACTCTGAAAGCCATGTCGCGACTGAATGGTTTACTATCGAGCATTTGGAATCGCACCTCTCCGCGGGTTTGGAAAAAGCCACGTCCGAGACCGATTGTGTAACGCGGATAGCACAAAAGGGGGGAAATTATCTGAGGTCGGTAGGGTGCACGAACAACTTTTTTTATACTATGCATTCGTTGTCCGATTACGAGGAATTGCCGTTGATGGATTGGTGTAATAAATAATAAATAAGATTGTATTGATACTTGATTTATAAGTATGTTGAGCCAGTAGAATAATGTGAATTTTTTCAATAAGGGTGAACTTCCACAATGAACTTAATCCTGGCCGAGATGTATTCTTAGGGTATCGCCCAAAGAATGGATACAGAACTGCGAAGAGGGTTTCCACTTGAATGAGAGAGTAAGAGCTCGAATACACTGTTTTACTAATTCCCAGCTCAAGAACTCAAAAACCCACGTTTCGACAAGGCGAGAAAAAAGACAAAATTCAAAGATGCACGCCTCAAACATATCAGCCAAAGCACTACGCGCACGAAAATCGCGTATAAGGTAAATCATCATTCTATTTGTTCTTGATCTGCACACTATCATCATGTTTTGTACTCCGGATATCGTCCTCATCTCCTCTGTAGCGTTGTCTAATCAACCGGATTTTCCCGCTTCCTTCTTTCCTTCCTGCTATGATGTTTCATGCTACCTCAAATCCAGCAAGGTAGTCGCTCTTGTGCATAAAAATCCAATCAGAATGTTGATCTCATTTTTGTCATTATTCTTCACTATCACCAGGAACTCTTCGTCTTCCCATTTTCCTCCTTAACTCCTTTCTCTCCCACTACCGATATGTATCTTCGCCAACCAGGAAACCCATCATGCAAGCACCATCCGCCACCCTTCAAGCTATCTCTGCCCCACCATATCACATGAAGAATCAAAACTAAAAATCTCTATCTGAGCATAATAAAAATGTGTTTCCTCCCAAACAGTAGAAAGAAGAATCAAAGAGCAAAATTGCAAAGATCATTCGCTAGTCTAAACAAGCAAATAAGCAAATTAGAGAAATGTAAACATCAATGCCGTTAATTGCCATTTTCGTTTCGCTCCATAAACACCCTCGCCAATTCAAGATATCAAAAAAAAAAAAAAAAAAAAAAAAAAAGGTCTTCCGCGGCGCAAAAAAAAAGTAAACAAGTTGGAAATTTTGTGGTATCTCGTAAAATCGCGGGACGTTAAAGTACAAAGAAATAAATCGGTGATTAGGGTGAAGCAAAAATTCGATTCTAAACCTTCGCTTTCATGCCACAGTCGCGATATTTGAATATGGCTTGTGAGGAGTGCTCGCAATTTTCGCGGGTTTGCGGTGGGATGTTGTGGCAAGTGAATTCGTTCAGAGAAAATACAGTGGCGTGAATTAGATGTAGGAAGGATGGGAATAAATCGTAAAGTGAAAGCCAGAAGTGTCGCAAGAAAACGCAGTTTGGAAATGTTGCTACAGAACTTCGGATTATTCTTTTAGAAACAATTCAAACTGCCCTTCTTCTTTTTCTTGCTGCTAAGAGCATTCATACGTTCCTCAAGATGAGCCCTTGCGAGCTCTGCCTCTTTCCTCTTGCGCTTCTCCTCTTCGACTTGCATTAGGCTCCATCGGTTTTCCTTCTCGGCATCGCCATTCTTGGCCTTCTCCTCGGCAGCTTTCAGTTCAACTTCCAGTTCATTGGCACGTCTTCGCCATGCATCACAGTCGGCTTTGACCTTGTTACTTTGTTTCTCGAGATCTGTGAGAGCCTCTTCGAGGGTGGATGTGAGTTGCTTTTCAGCGAACAGGTGCTTCTCGATAGTGCGGATACGAGCTTCTTGGTCCTCTTGAATTTGAGTTGCAGCTATGTCTTTACTGTTGCGAGCATTGAAGCTACCTTGTGTAGGTGTTGGTGGAACTGGCGATGTTGAAGGAGCGGGCCCTGTCTGTGCATTTCCCGAATTCCCAGGTAGTGGCGGTAAAGGAATTGCCGGGGGTGGTGATGGAAGTGAAGTCACGGATGCCGATTTGTGGAGTCGCGAAGTGATCGAGTTGGAACGCTTGTTGCTGGCGTCGGCTTGCAAAGCTTCGTATTTGGCCTATTGAATGAGTCAGACATACTTAATACACAAAATAAACTCGAGCTTCGCAACTTACCTGAAGAGTGGCGAGTTCCTCTTTGACCGCATCCAACTCAGTCTGAGCACGAAGAGCATTTGCATTGGCTTCGTCTAATTGAGCATTACGCTCTGTTTGGAGTGTAGACAAACGATTATTAGCAGCTTGATGCTCATCGAAATTTGAGGCAAGTTGGTCCTCAAGCTCTTCTACTAATCTTGAATTTTTCTTGTTCTTAGTTTCAAGGTCGTGCAGCTCCTTTCTCAAAGCCGCTAGTTGATCTGCGACTGTAGCATTTTCATCCCTCAGTCTCGAGCCGTCGGTGGTCTTGGTCAAAAGACTAGCCAGTTCCGCCTTGGTATCTTCTAGCTCCTTCATAACAGAATGATTTATGGTTGATAACTCTTTAGTGAATTTTTCGAGCTCGCCGACTTTGGCTTCTTGATCCGATAGCGCTTTTTGGCTTGCAATGAGATCTGTGATCCTATCTTGTAGTTTCTCTGTGCTAACATCTACTCCAAGTGCAAGCGCGACCTGGGTAGCGATCTTTGTCAGATCATCTCGCGCGTCAGAGAGCTCTCTTGTCAGTGCATCGGTGCTTTCTTGATGTTTAGCCTTTAACTCGTTCACCTGAGCCTCGTGGTCAGCCTGGCTATTTGAGCGAATTTCCTCAATCTCCTTTGCATGGTTTGCGTTTAAGAGGGATATTCCTTCGTGGTGAGCCTTGACAATGCTTTCATGCTCGGCGATCTGCTCTTCCAATCGATTCACGAGAATTTTGTGCCCTTCCATCTCGGCGGAGACAATATTCTTTGACTGGACGGCTGCCTCGAGCTGTTCACGAGTTGATGCATGGGCTTGCTCGAGCTCAGCGAATCGCGAGACATTTGCGACAACAGAAGCCTTGTGTTCCTCAACTTCTCTTTGCAAGTTTGAAACGTGTGTGGTATGATCTCCAACTTCGCGGATCCTATGCTCCCCGTTCCTTACCAAGCTTGTCAACTGTTGTTCCAATTCAGATATAGTAGCTTCGAGTGTATTTTGAGAACTTTGCATAGAAGACAATACAGCCTGATGCTTTCCTTCCCAATTGATAACTTCTGCTTTCAGTTCTGCTATTTTTCTTTCGTGATCATACTCTGCTCCATTACTCTCATAAGTATCTTTGTCGGCGGAGTCACCATTAACCATATGACTGAGATTGATGGAAGTCCGAAGAGATTCAATTTGCTGAAGCAATTCCTTTTCACGAGCACTGTGAGTCTCCTGAAGCATTCTTACTTGGTTCTCCGAGTTGACGATCTGATCCTGCATAGTTGAGACCAGCGACATATCCATAGGTGACGCCTTCATGCTTGATCGTTCTCTTGCAAGCCCACTTATAATAGTTGTCTTGGTTTCCAACTCCTTCTTGACTGTAGTGACGTCGGCCTCGAGCTCCTGAATGCGCTCTGAGCGGGTATGTAATTCGTGCATGGCGGTGTTCAAGTTTAACTCAAAGTTCGCCATAACATCAGGATTATGCTCAAAATTTTCCGCTGCAATATTTCTCAAAGAGGCGAATGATCTATGAGCCCGATCGATAATCATAACGTTTTGGCTGGATTTTCGGCGTATAACTGGTGTGCCCGAACGTGGTGATGTAGCTTCGGCATTCATTCTCGCCTTTGAAACCTCGGCCTTGAGCTCCTCCATACGATCAAGAGCCGCTATGTGTTCTTCTTCTAATTGGGCATATTTCTCGGCAAGCATCACTTGTGCCTCTTCGTGCTCTGCGCCCAACTTTCTCAGATTGTCAACTTCCGCCGTACTTGTCGTGTCACTGGCCTCATCTGAGGTAGCTACCGACTCCGAATTTTTGATCACGGCTTCAGCATCAGATTGTTCTACGGTAGTGGGTAGTTCCCCAGCTGAGGACAATTCCGATGAAAGTGATCGCGAGGATGAGTATTGTCCTCCGCCCTTTAGCTCGTTCACCCTCGCGTCTGCTAAAAAAGAAGCTGTTCTTGCCGTAGGAGTCGACAAAATAGAATCACGTGCACCGGTATTACGGGCTTCGTCAACAGCATCTTGAAGTTCGGCCAGTGTACGAAGAGCTTCTTCATATTTGTTCGAGAGAAGATCATATTCACCAACAGTAGCTTCATGCTCAACTCTTAGATCAACGAGTTCTTGACTAACACTTTCGAGCTTATCCTCG